CTTACCATTTTTTGTACAGCAGTAGGTTTGTCTTAATCCCATTTGAAGAGAGAGGTGACACTAGGTGTCAACAATCAGAGAAAAGAAAGAAGAACACCAACGAATAATGAAATCTAGCGCTTTCTAATACACTTAAGAGAAAGGATTTTACTACTGAATTGTAATGAACGGCTTAATCAGTAGATTTATAAAAATTTGCATACACTTCGGGCTAATTATAGAAATTAGCAAATTGACATTCTAGAACGTTCTTTTCCAAAAGTAGTATTGTAGTAAATGAGTTCTGAAAAGTTCCAAACATTATACCCAGTGCTAGTGCTGAACACAAACACAAGAAACGGGTAATTACTTACCCATATCCCGACAATTTTTTGCTGTTGGACACTAGAGTGGTTATCCTATGCGAGGTTGAAGATATTAATAAGCCACTGTTTCTATCATAGTTGGAAAACTTTTTTGCATCTTTTTAATTTGCAGTGCCAACGACAGCACCTGTTTCAACCACAGGTGAGGACTAAAATTTCCCATTGTTAAAAGTAAAAGAATATATATTAAATAAATTCATACTCATTATTTCATTCCCGAATAGAATGATAGACGCACTCAGTTTATCAAAAGAGGCAAAAATTCATTAAAAAGAATAAATATTGCTGGTATATTTGTTCGATTTAGATTGTTTCAATTCTTAAAATTTAAATATAACAACAACTAATAGCTTTTTATTTTTCAGCATTGCCAACTACTACAAGTAAGTGGTACTAAAATGTTTGGTTCACTGTTTTAACAGTTTTCACCGCTGATGCTAACGTTGTGGATGTACGGGAACGCTATTACTTTAAACCTAATTTTGTCAAATGTTCAATTCAGTTACGTTTTGGGCTGTTTTTATGGATAAGGAAAATAGAAGGACGGTTTTGCAGGGCAGTACCTACCATTTTGTACAGCAGTTGTTTTGTCAGGCAAAGGTTCGTTGAGTCTACAAGGTGTCGCGTAACACAAACTTCATCACTTTAGGCCAAAAGAGAGATTACTCTCCAAGTGTTTTCCGTTCATCCCCCGAACAGGGGAAAGAAATCATGTCAACAACCCGTAATACAATCTGCTCTTGCTAAACACACTTTAAAGAAAGGATTCTTCCTAGAAAATTTTAAGGAAGTACTCAGTCAGTTATTTACAGAAATTTACCATTTGGACAGAAACCCATATGAGCTGGGCTGCTTTGGGTTAATAATAGGATTAGCAAATTGTTCTTCTAGGACTCATTCTTTAAAAGTATGGTAGTGGGATGAGTACTTTAAGGTGCTAGACATCATAACAGTAGTAATCTTGAAACAGCAAAACACTTCACCCATCCCGACGGCTACTTTTGTTGTTGTGGTGGAACTGGACTGGAAATTTCTTTGTGAGGGTGAACATAGTATACGCCACTGTTTCAATGATAGTTGGAAAACTGGCAGACATTAGGATTCTTATTACATCTTATTCAATTTGCAGTGCCAACGACAGCACCTGTTTCGACCACAGGTGAGAATAGCGTTTAGTAAATTAAAATAATATAGCCATAGGGCGAGTCTTTCGAAACATTTTAATAAAAGGACCCTTTCATATACTATATATAACTAGTTAATTTACGATACCCGTTCGATATACCAGTATACGCCACTGTTTCAACGATAGTTGGAAAACTGGTAGACATTGTAACATGTTGTAATTCTTATTACATCTTTTTCAATCTGCAGTGCCAACGACAGCACCTGTTCCAACCACAGGTAAGCATTGCAATAAAATTACATTTCTTCCTTCCACAAAAGGGCATAAAATATGTTGTATATGAGTTACCAGGAGACTTGCATCGTATTGTGCATTCTAGGAGGGAGGGGCGCAATCCAGACCTTACAGAGAGGGCATCGAAAAGGATTTCCTCTCTGAGACTGAAATATGTCGGCGCCTCAAACCCGAAAGCCTCGGATCCGTTTGGTAGAGATATAAGAAGGGCAGACCCAGAGGCCCTTTATTATTGTTGTAAATGTTCTTTTTCTTTTTATTTAATCGTAAACTTTTGTATTTAACAGATATCGACGAGTGCCTCCCTTCACCCTGTGACGCCAATGCCGTTTGTCAGAATACCATTGGTTCCTTCACCTGCACGTGCAATGCCGGGTTTACAGGAGACGGATTATCTTGTACCGGTAACATAAAAAATCGTGTTAACGATACGACTTTTACGTCATGTCATTTTTATTCAATACATATCTTGTCCGCTATCACTTAGTACGGCTTTGTAGGGACTTAATACTGACAAAAATTAATTAGAGACTTAAAATTAGTTTTTATACTACTTATTACCCAAGTATATCATGGGGACTTTTTAAGGTGACTGATGACGAAGATTATGAAGATTTCATCACTTTTTTTCAACAGATATCAATGAGTGCATGAATTCACCATGTAGTACCTTTGCGGTTTGTCAGAATACCGTTGGTTCCTTTAATTGCACCTGTAATGCCGGATTTACTGGAAATGGATCATCCTGTTTAGGTAACATAAAATCTCTAATTTTATATTAATTGAAATATCAAAGTGCTCAGCCTTTGTAATTCTCCCGAACAAATTAAAAGAAAAAGAGAAATTGAAAATTTGTATCTCTAGTCTCTTGGGCCTCGACCCGGGAGGGGAGGGATGGGTTATCTCAGGAATTCTTGGTGGGGTGTGCCACCCGGTTCTCCAAATGCTGACCATATTGGAGACCAAAAAATGTAATTTTCACACCCGTGAATGCCGGATTTACTGGAAATGGATTATCCTGTTTAGGTAACATAAAATCTCTAATTTTACATTAATTGAAATATTAAATACATATACATATCTTGTCCGCTATCACCTAGTACAGCTTTGTAGGGACTTAAGTTATGTCGGCGCAACGACATACAAGCCCCCGGGGTTTGCCGCAAAAGTAATTAAGGGGGTCGGTCTCCCAACACCCCACCCTCTAGATCAGCTCCCTACAAGGCATTTCCATTCCCTCTCCTTCAATTGTTAAAAAAATAAGTTTTTTTCCGGAAATTATGGTTTTCCTGAAATTATAAGTAAAATTGATAAACTATTGATCATTTTTCTTTCTTTTGTAATCGTAATGTTTAGTTTATATTATATTAGCTATCAACGAGTGCCTTTCTTCACCCTGTGATGCCAATGCCATTTGTCAGAATACCGTTGGTTCCCTTACTTGCACGTGCATTGCTGGATTTACGGGAGAGTTAATTACATGGCTTTTGTGTCGAATTTTTTAATATCTTTGTAAAGAGTTGTTACTCGTGACTCTACTCTTGTGTCAGCCTTTATTCAAAACTTAGAAAATATTTCACATTGTTAGAAGTGAGAATATTTAGACAAAATTATTATTTCATTGCTGAATGACATATAGACGCAGTCAATCCATCAAAAGGGTCATAAAAATCATTAAAAAGAATAAACATTACTGGTATGTTTGTTCGGTTAAGATTTAAATACAACAACAAAATAATAGCTTGCTAACAATTAATATTGCAATTACCTTTCCTTTTTTCAGCATTATTACCCACTACTACAAGTAAGTGATGCTGACTGAATGCCCTGTTCACACAGTTTTAACAGCTGTCACCTTTCGGATCCTAAACGTTGTGGACTTTTCCTAAAGATAATTTAAGGGAACGTCACCATTATTTTTAAATCGGTTTTTGTGAAAAATACAACTTAAGTTTTTGGTTTTTGTTATGCAACGCCACCAGAAAAATAAAACGGCGGTTTTGCAGGTCAATACTTACCATTTTGTACAGCAGTAGGTTTGTCTTAATCCCTTCTGAAGAGAGAGGTGACACTAGGTGTCAACAATCAGAGAAAAGAAAGAAGAACACCAACGAATAATGAAATCTAGCGCTTTCTAATACACTTAAGAGAAAGGATTTTACTACTGAATTGTAATGAACGGCTTAATCAGTAGATTTATAAAAATTTGCATACACTTCGGGCTAATTATAGAAATTAGCAAATTGACATTCTAGAACGTTCTTTTCCAAAAGTAGTATCGTAGTAAATGAGTTCTGAAAAGTTCCAAACATTATACCCAGTGCTAGTACTGGACACAAACACAAGAAACGGGTAATTACTTACCCATATCCCGACAATTTTTTGCTGTTGGATCCTAGAGTGGTTATCCTATGCGAGGTTGAAGATATTAATAAGCCACTGTTTCTATCATAGTTGGAAAACTTTTTTGCATCTTTTTAATTTGCAGTGCCAACGACAGCACCTGTTTCAACCACAGGTGAGGACTAAAATTTCCCATTGTTAAAAGTAAAAGAATATATATTAAATAAATTCATACTCATTATTTCATTCCCGAATAGAATGATAGACGAACTCAGTTTATCAAAAGAGGCAAAAATTCATTAAAAAGAATAAATATTGCTGGTATATTTGTTCGATTTAGATTGTTTCAATTCTTAAAATTTAAATATAACAACAACTAATAGCTTTTTATTTTTCAGCATTGCCAACTACTACAAGTAAGTGGTACTAAAATGTTTGGTTCACTGTTTTAACAGTTTTCACCGCTGATGCTAACGTTGTGGATGTACGGGAACGCTATTACTTTAAACCTAATTTTGTCAAATGTTCAATTCAGTTACGTTTTGGGCTGTTTTTATGAATAAGGAAAATAGAAGGACGGTTTTGCAGGGCAGTACCTACCATTTTGTACAGCAGTTGTTTTGTCAGGCAAAGGTTCGTTGAGTCTACAAGGTGTCGCGTAACACAAACTTCATCACTTTAGGCCAAAAGAGAGATTACTCTCAAGTGTTTTTCCGTTCATCCCCGAACAGGGAAAGAAATCATGTCAACAACCCGTAATACAATCTGCTCTTGCTAAACACACTTTAAAGAAAGGATTCTTCCTAGAAAATTTTAAGGAAGTACTCAGTCAGTTATTTACAGAAATTTACCATTTGGACAGAAACCCATATGAGCTGGGCTGCTTTGGGTTAATAATAGGATTAGCAAATTGTTCTTCTAGGACTCATTCTTTAAAAGTATGGTAGTGGGATGAGTACTTTAAGGTGCTAGACATCATAACAGTAGTAATCTTGAAACAGCAAAACACTTCACCCATCCTGACGGCTACTTTTGTTGTTGTGGTGGAACTGGACTGGAAATTTCTTTGTGAGGGTGAACATAGTATACAATTAATGGCGACTCGTTAGGCAGACCTACATTTCATGGTAAATCGGGAATCAGTGTCATTGATTACTCCGTATGTGACCAAGATTTGCTACGAAATATAACATCTTTTGTAGTGAAAGAGCCGAACAGTTTATCAGATCATAGTCCAATAATAACATGGCTTAAGGTTAACCGTCATTTAGATAATGATTCATCAAACGAGGCAATTATAAATGATTCTTTGACTCCTCTACCAAAACAGTTTTTTTGGGAAAACGATTCGTCACAAAAATTTAGAGCTACATTACAGTCTGAAGACATTCAAAGAATGATCCACGATTTTATGAATACTACAACAATCACGAGAAATGTTGACATGAACCTTCATGCTGTAGAAAATATTCTTATTTCAACCGCCAAACGCTGTTTGAAGATCAAAACAGCAAAAAGCGACGTTGCAAAATATCTTCGAACAAAAATGGTTGGACAAAGAATGCCGCTATAAAAGACATGAACTGCGGAAACTTTCTAATCAAAAACATAGAGATCCTCTAAACACTACCCTCAGAGAAGAGTTTCACAACGTCTTAAAACAATATAAAAACCTTTTGAAACATAAGAGAAACGAATACTATAGCAATAAGATCTGTGAACTTGAAAATACGGTCGAAAATTCGAACAATAAGAGCTTTTGGAACTGTTTGAAGTCAATGGACGACACTATGAAGGAAACCTACACCCCTCAATTTCTGAAGAAAAATGGATGTCCCACTTTCAATCTTTGCACTCGAATGAACCCCTTAATGAACAGCAGGAGGCAATTATAGATGAGTTGCAGAATTCAAAGGATATTACGTCACGATCTCACTCCTTGGATTACCTCATCACTGAAAGTGAAATTCGCACTGCAGTTGGAAAACTCAAAAACAACAAATCTTCTTTTTCAGACAAAATCAAAAACGAAATGATCAAATCTAGCCTAAACGAATTAATGCCTGTTTATCTAAAACTATTTAACACGGTCCTCGACTTAGGAACTATGCCCCAAATGTGGTGTGATGGCCTCATTACACCAATTTTTAAATGTGGTACTAAAAGCGATCCATCAAACTACCGTGGAATTTGTATTTCCAGTTGTATTGGAAAACTATTTTGTTCAATTCTCAGTCAGAGACTTCTAAAGCACGTTGACTTAAATAATATACTTCACAAGTCTCAAATTGGTTTTCTAGCAAATAATAGAACAGCAGATCATGTCTTCACACTTCGAACATTAATAGACAAATATGCCCATTGTCACAAGGAGAAAATATATGCGTGTTTTGTTGACTTTAGGAAAGCCTTTGATTCGGTTTGGCATGATGGGCTTCTCTATAAGTTATCTAAGATCAATGTCCAAGGAAAGTTTTATAGTCTAATTAAGAGTCTATACTCGAAGTCTACCTGCTCTGTCAGGATTGGAAATAACAAAACGCGCTCTTTTCAATACGCAAAGGAGTGCGGCAAGGCTGCATTTTAAGCCCTCTGCTCTTTAACTTATACCTTAACGATCTAGCGTTCTCATTTGACAATGTTTTATCAGACCCCTTCGTGTTACCAAATGGCACCAGACTCAACTCTCTCCTTTACGCAGATGACTTGATAATATTATCGCGATCCAAACTTGGTCTACAAAACTGCCTTAACGTACTATCTTCATATTGCAACTCATGGATGCTTAGAATAAATCCTAAGAAAACCAAAATAATGATTTTTCAACGATGCACACGAAAATGTGAACATAACTTCCGCATAGGCAATGAAGTAATCGAAGTTGTCCAAAACTATACTTACTTAGGAACTCGAATTACATCTTCCGGAAATTTTACACTTTCGCTTGAACATCTCCGACAAAAAGCTCTTCACGCGCTCTTCAGCCTCAGGCGACACACGGATTTGAATAATCTTAAGCCCTCACTTGCGTGTAAAATTTTGACTCTATGATTTCACCAATTCTAACCTACAACAGCGAAGTTTGGGGTGCTTTTGTTAAATCAGATTTTAAGTCCTGGGACAGCTCTGCAATTGAAAAAACCCATTTGCAATTCTGTAAACGTTATTTACAAGTACATAACAAGGCATCCAACATTGCTTGTAGAGCTGAACTCGGTAAATTTCCCATGATCATTGATATAAATAAAAAGATTCTAAATTACTTAGACTATCTGAGAGGTAAGGATGAAGATTCTATAGTTAAACAGGCCTTACAAATTTCAATTGACCTTCATCATAACGGAAAAACTAGCTTTTACTCTAATCTCATGAAAATGGTTGACTACTATGATCTAAACTTTGACTTTTCTTGTAATTCATTGAGTGACTCAATAGTTAATAGGTATATCGGCATAATGAAAAATAAATACGTCTCTTACTGGAATCAGACACTTCAACAATCACAAAAACTCAGTTTTTATTGTACAATCAAAGACGACTATAGCCCCTCGCCGTACCTAGTTTTAACAAGAAAAAACCCTTCGAGAAAAACATTAGTTAGATTTAGAATAAGTAGTCATCAACTTAGAATTGAAACAGGTAGATACGAAAACATTCCTCGCAATGAAAGGATATGTCACTTTTGTACAAGTAAGAAAATCGAAGATGAAAATCATTTCTTACTAGATTGTAAGGCTTATTCTCAGATCAGAGACATATTTTTCTCGAAACTAGAAACTAAAATACCTGACTTCAAATCACTTTCACACGATACTTTAATATCTCTTCTTATGAATTCTTCTGATTATTTAATTAACTGTCAATTAGTTTCATTTATCTCGCAATGCTTTGAATTAAGGACCAAATTAATATCAATGAATGAATGAATGAGAACTGTCACGTTTTGTAATGTTTTGCACGTACTAATTAGTTGAATTAGTACTTAAATTTAGACTAATAGCTTTTGCAATACTGTAATTCCTTTATGGTCATGCAAATAAAGCTTTTGTTGTTGTTGTTGTTGTTTCAATGATAGTTGGAAAACTGGCAGACATTAGGATTCTTATTACATCTTATTCAATTTGCAGTGCCAACGACAGCACCTGTTTCGACCACAGGTGAGAATAGCGTTTAGTAAATTAAAATAATATAGCCATAGGGCGAGTCTTTCGAAACATTTTAATAAAAGGACCCTTTCATATACTATATATAACTAGTTAATTTACGATACCCGTTCGATATACCAGTATACGCCACTGTTTCAACGATAGTTGGAAAACTGGTAGACATTGTAACATGTTGTAATTCTTATTACATCTTTTTCAATCTGCAGTGCCAACGACAGCACCTGTTCCAACCACAGGTAAGCATTGCAATAAAATTACATTTCTTCCTTCCACAAAAGGGCATAAAATATGTTGTATATGAGTTACCAGGAGACTTGCATCGTATTGTGCATTCTAGGAGGGAGGGGCGCAATCCAGACCTTACAGAGAGGGCATCGAAAAGGATTTCCTCTCTGAGACTGAAATATGTCGGCGCCTCAAACCCGAAAGCCTCGGATCCGTTTGGTAGAGATATAAGAAGGGCAGACCCAGAGGCCCTTTATTATTGTTGTAAATGTTCTTTTTCTTTTTATTTAATCGTAAACTTTTGTATTTAACAGATATCGACGAGTGCCTCCCTTCACCCTGTGACGCCAATGCCGTTTGTCAGAATACCATTGGTTCCTTCACCTGCACGTGCAATGCCGGGTTTACAGGAGACGGATTATCTTGTACCGGTAACATAAAAAATCGTGTTAACGATACGACTTTTACGTCATGTCATTTTTATTCAATACATATCTTGTCCGCTATCACTTAGTACGGCTTTGTAGGGACTTAATACTGACAAAAATTAATTAGAGACTTAAAATTAGTTTTTATACTACTTATTAAACAAGTATATCATGGGGACTTTTTAAGGTGACTGATGACGAAGATTATGAAGATTTCATCACTTTTTTTCAACAGATATTAATGAGTGCATGAATTCACCATGTAGTACCTTTGCGGTTTGTCAGAATACCGTTGGTTCCTTTAATTGCACCTGTAATGCCGGATTTACTGGAAATGGATCATCCTGTTTAGGTAACATAAAATCTCTAATTTTATATTAATTGAAATATCAAAGTGCTCAGCCTTTGTAATTCTCCCGAACAAATTAAAAGAAAAAGAGAAATTGAAAATTTGTATCTCTAGTCTCTTGGGCCTCGACCCGGGAGGGGAGGGGATGGGTTATCTCGGGAATTCTTGGTGGGGGTGTGCCACCCGGTTCTCCAAATGCTGACCATATTGGAGACCAAAAAATGTAATTTTCACACCCGTGAATGCCGGATTTACTGGAAATGGATTATCCTGTTTAGGTAACATAAAATCTCTAATTTTACATTAATTGAAATATTAAATACATATACATATCTTGTCCGCTATCACCTAGTACAGCTTTGTAGGGACTTAAGTTATGTCGGCGCAACGACATACAAGCCCCCGGGGTTTGCCGCAAAAGTAATTAAGGGGGTCGGTCTCCCAACACCCCACCCTCTAGATCAGCTCCCTACAAGGCATTTCCATTCCCTCTCCTTCAATTGTTAAAAAATAAGTTTTTTCCGGAAATTATGGTTTTCCTGAAATTATAAGTAAAATTGATAAACTATTGATCATTTTTCTTTCTTTTGTAATCGTAATGTTTAGTTTATATTATATTAGCTATCAACGAGTGCCTTTCTTCACCCTGTGATGCCAATGCCATTTGTCAGAATACCGTTGGTTCCCTTACTTGCACGTGCATTGCTGGATTTACGGGAGAGTTAATTACATGGCTTTTGTGTCGAATTTTTTAATATCTTTGTAAAGAGTTGTTACTCGTGACTCTACTCTTGTGTCAGCCTTTATTCAAAACTTAGAAAATATTTCACATTGTTAGAAGTGAGAATATTTAGACAAAATTATTATTTCATTGCTGAATGACATATAGACGCAGTCAATCCATCAAAAGGGTCATAAAAATCATTAAAAAGAATAAACATTACTGGTATGTTTGTTCGGTTAAGATTTAAATACAACAACAAAATAATAGCTTGCTAACAATTAATATTGCAATTACCTTTCCTTTTTTCAGCATTATTACCCACTACTACAAGTAAGTGATGCTGACTGAATGCCCTGTTCACACAGTTTTAACAGCTGTCACCTTTCGGATCCTAAACGTTGTGGACTTTTCCTTTAAAAAGATAATTTAAGGGAACGTCACCATTATTTTTAAATTGGTTTTTGTGAAAAATACAACTTAAGTTTTTGGTTTTTGTTATGCAACGCCACCAGAAAAATAAAACGGCGGTTTTGCAGGTCAATACTTACCATTTTGTACAGCAGTAGGTTTGTCTTAATCCCATTTGAAGAGAGAGGTGACACTAGGTGTCAACAATCAGAGAAAAGAAAGAAGAACACCAACGAATAATGAAATCTAGCGCTTTCTAATACACTTAAGAGAAAGGATTTTACTACTGAATTGTAATGAACGGCTTAATCAGTAGATTTATAAAAATTTGCATACACTTCGGGCTAATTATAGAAATTAGCAAATTGACATTCTAGAACGTTCTTTTCCAAAAGTAGTATTGTAGTAAATGAGTTCTGAAAAGTTCCAAACATTATACCCAGTGCTAGTGCTGAACACAAACACAAGAAACGGGTAATTACTTACCCATATCCCGACAATTTTTTGCTGTTGGACACTAGAGTGGTTATCCTATGCGAGGTTGAAGATATTAATAAGCCACTGTTTCTATCATAGTTGGAAAACTTTTTTGCATCTTTTTAATTTGCAGTGCCAACGACAGCACCTGTTTCAACCACAGGTGAGGACTAAAATTTCCCATTGTTAAAAGTAAAAGAATATATATTAAATAAATTCATACTCATTATTTCATTCCCGAATAGAATGATAGACGCACTCAGTTTATCAAAAGAGGCAAAAATTCATTAAAAAGAATAAATATTGCTGGTATATTTGTTCGATTTAGATTGTTTCAATTCTTAAAATTTAAATATAACAACAACTAATAGCTTTTTATTTTTCAGCATTGCCAACTACTACAAGTAAGTGGTACTAAAATGTTTGGTTCACTGTTTTAACAGTTTTCACCGCTGATGCTAACGTTGTGGATGTACGGGAACGCTATTACTTTAAACCTAATTTTGTCAAATGTTCAATCCAGTTACGTTTTGGGCTGTTTTTATGGATAAGGAAAATAGAAGGACGGTTTCGCAGGGCAGTACCTACCATTTTGTACAGCAGTTGTTTTGTCAGGCAAAGGTTCGTTGAGTCTACGAGGTGTCGCGTAACACAAACTTCATCACTTTAGGCCAAAAGAGAGATTACTCTCCAAGTGTTTTCCGTTCATCCCCCGAACAGGGGAAAGAAATCATGTCAACAACCCGTAATACAATCTGCTCTTGCTAAACACACTTTAAAGAAAGGATTCTTCCTAGAAAATTTTAAGGAAGTACTCAGTCAGTTGATTTACAGAAATTTACCATTTGGACAGAAACCCATATGAGCTGGCCTGCTTTGGGTTAATAATAGGATTAGCAAATTGTTCTTCTAGGACTCATTCTTTAAAAGTATGTTAGTGGGATGAGTACTTTAAGGTTCTAGACATCATAACAGTAGTAATCTTGAAACAGCAAAACACTTCACCCATCCTGACGGCTACTTTTGTTGTTGTGGTGGAACTGGACTGGAAATTTCTAGGACTCATTCTTTAAAAGTATGTTAGTGGGATGAGTACTTTAAGGTTCTAGACATCATAACAGTAGTAATCTTGAAACAGCAAAACACTTCACCCATCCTGACGGCTACTTTTGTTGTTGTGGTGGAACTGGACTGGAAATTTCTTTGTGAGGCTGAACGTAGTATACGCCACTGTTTCAATGATAGTTGGAAAACCGGCAGACATTAGGATTCTTATTACATCTTGTTCAATTTGCAGTGCCAACGACAGCACCTGTTCCAACCACAGGTGAGCATTGCAGTAAAATTCTTCCTCCCACAAAAGGGCATAAAACATCTTGCAGATGAGGTACCAGGGGACGTACATCATATTGTGCATTCCAGGGGGGGATCAATCAAGACCTTACGGAGGGGGGATCGAAGAGGGTTTCCTCATCTGAGACCGAATTATGTTGGCGCCTGGAACCCGCGAGCCTCGGATCCGTTTGGTAGAAATTTAAGAAGGGCAGACCCTGAGGCCCTTTATTATTGTTGTAAATGTTCTTTTTCTTTTTATTTAATCGTAAACTTTTATATTTAACAGATATCGACGAGTGCCTCTCTTCACCCTGTGACGCCAATGCCGTTTGTCAGAATACCATTGGTTCCTTCACCTGCACGTGCAATGCCGGGTTTACAGGAGACGGATTATCTTGTACCGGTAACATAAAAAATCGTGTTACCGATACGACTTTTACGTCGTCATTTTTATTCAATACATATCTTGTCCGCTATCACCTAGTACGGCTTGTAGGGACTTCATACTGACAAAAATTAATTAGAGACTTAAAATTAGTTTTTAGACTACTTATTACCCAAGTATATCATGGGGACTTTTTAAGGTGTCTGATGACGAAGATTATGAAGATTTCATCACTTTTTTTTTCAACAGATATCAATGAGTGCATGAATTCACCATGTAGTACCTTTGCGGTTTGTCAGAATACCGTTGGTTCCTTTAATTGCACCTGTAATGCCGGATTTACTGGAAATGGATTATCCTGTTTAGGTAACATAAAATTGTAATTCTTCCGTCCCTTGGGCCTTGGCCCTAAGGGGGGGAGGGTAGGGGGTATCTCGGGAATTCTTGGTGGGGGGTGTGCCACCCGGTTCTCCAAATGCTGACCCTATTTTGGACCAAAAAGTGTCATTTTTCACACCGGTTTTCAAACCTGGCTCGCCTCTAAAATCCATACCTATTCTCAGACCTGGCCTTTAAGAAATTCCGTCATCATTACTTAGATTAGAGAAGCAACAAAAAAGATTTCTTAAAATCTATTTCGAATTCGCATATTTCTCTTTCTTTCTTTCACATTTGGAATTGAAACGGTAAATACCTTCGTACACTCACGCAGTTCCCTTGAAAACCACACCCGATTCCAGAGCAAAATGAGCAAAGTCTATACTTGTTTTCAGACCAAAGCGGTGCAAAAACCCTGGGGCGGTACATATCTATATATAGGGGAGTACCCCCCGGAGGGTCTCGGAGAAACGTCAAACTTCACATTTCAGCCCATGTCAGGTAATCTGGATTCCTGAATCCTGGAATTTTTTGCTTTTGGAATGCTCAAGGACCCGGAATCCCGTGAACGCTGGGAATCTGGAATTCAAGTTACACTGACAAGGATTCGGAATCCAATAAGTGGAATCGAAGTGAAGAGAATCGGTCATGTCGCCGGGCGCTCCGCACGTGCCGGTTTAAAACTCAAAACTTACCAACGCCTTATATAGTAAACTAAAATGAGTTATTGTATTTCTTTTCTTTTCTTTTTTCTTATGTAGTTTAATAACGTTATTATTTAAAGTCTTGTCCTGCCTAGATTAGCATTTATAGCTATTTGCAGGACATAAAGTATTGTAAACTTTATAATTATATTTCTTTAAATAAATACATTGCTGTTGTTGTTGTTGTTGAATCTTGAATCCACAGCGTGGAATCAAGAATGGCTAGACTGTCTTGGATGAGCTTGCATGGAGCGATCTCATTTGCCAAATGAGCGAGAACAAAACATTTTGGCCCAACACCTGTGATTAGTTCCACGTTTGACCCTGCGCGCCTTAAAGTTTTGATTTATTATATCGTTATACATTTAAAACTTAATGACTGGTTCCGAGGAAAACAAAATTAACTGTTTCCCGAAAGACCAGTCTTTAAGTGACTTGTTATATAGCTGGAAATTTTGAAGCTGGAAATTCATTGAACCTCGCCGTCACGGAGGTCGTCGATCAACATTCGAGGGCAACAGTGCACTGTTACCCTTTGACGTCATAGATTTTGCGATATTGCCTGCTCAGAGATTTTGCCGGGAAACATTTTCATTGTTAGATGTCATGTGACCTCGAAGTAACCAATGAGAGCGCGCTGGGAAAAAAATTCCAGCTATATAACAATGATAAATAAGTATCATATTCATGCTTTCTGAATCATGATGTTTTTGATCATCAAGATATCAACGAATGTTCCACGTCTTCACCCTGTGGCGAGAGGAAAAGGGAGGAAGATTTGTCTTTAACGTTCTTTTTCCTTTTTTTTTTAGCTGTCTGTCAAGACTTTATGCCCAATTGCGCTCTGTTTCGTTCTTTGGGGTGTTCTCACCCTCTAAACCTCTGCCCGAGGACCTGCAATAGATGTCCTGCATAAAGTCACAGCAATTATCGAGATACGCAGTTTCAGAGGCTCATGCTTATTCTACGTTTCTAGTTAAACATAGCTGTAATACTCTCTTATAATACGCCGTGCTTGAACCACTTTGATTAAATAGCTTGTTATCGAATGTTTTTGCCAATTAAGAGAATTGCATCTCAAGTTGCATTGAAAAGGCTGAAATAAAGTTACTTTAAAACGTTCACACTGGCTCCTATTAGGTATTTTGTTGAACTTCATGTGTTAACATGCTCAGTACGTAGAATCAATTTTGCACAGTGTCGAAGATCATAACTTTTTCAGGACGAGCGACTTCCCTCGGTAAAAAAAAAAACAAATAAACGGTTTAATTTTTAATGTGACTGATCAATGTTGCATTTCTCCTGCTGCCAATGAGGGGTTGTTCCTGCCATGCGGGACATTATTATGTGTATTTTAAAGAGATGAAAGCGAGCCAAGAAGCCTCCCTGCTCTCTGCAACGAAAAATTAGGAAATTTTTCCCCTCCTCCCCCTCCCCCTCAGTTTGCTCCACTTAACTCTTCTGAATGGCGAGTGAATTTTGTACCATGACCTCCTTTGCTGGGATTATCTTCTCGTGTATCTGGATTTTCCCAGCTTCATGCACTTTATGTGCTTGACTCAATTAAATAAACGGCCACTCCTGTGGCAAAATGTATTCCAAATAGGGATTGTCATTATTTTGTATCCCAGCAAACAGAATTCACCGAAAGTGTGACTCGGCCAACGTTAATATCTGACTTAATAATAAATTATCATGTAAAGACACATGAAGCATAGATCTCGATAAATACTCCGAGTGGGCGGAATAAACCTTTTTAGGTTGGACGTTTTTCAACCCACGTGACGGTACCCCAGAGAACACAGGCGTCCCTATCTGAATATGTGTGCGCATGCTAAAAATTAATGCATCTGCTAATACTGCGTGACGTACCATTTCATCGGTTTATAAGGGAAAAATAAATACATGCATCACCTTGCGTACCTGGAAATGATGATACGGAGGGAAAAGAGAAAGAAGAGAGAAGGCAGAAAGGGAGAAAAACCTTAGCTATAAGGATGTGGAATGGGAGAAACTTCTCCATGAGGATCTGTTTCAAAAGCAAAGAGTCTGACATCTGAAAAGAAATTGTCCAAAAAAGGCAAGCTAAACTTAGTGTCAGCTCACATTCAGCTGTCAGCAGCCATACAAAGTGTCTCCACTAGAAAAGATGCAAGTAGCTCTGGAGCAAACAGCAGCTCAGAAGCAGGAGAAGAGAGTAGCCTGCACTATGTTGTGCAGAAAGTTCCTCCGAGAATGATGAATGAAAATGATGATGATGATGATGACAGTATACCTTCGCAAAACTGGCAACCAACAGTTGGAATGAAAGTGATAGTAATGTACCATTAAGCGTACTCGCCAAACACAGCTGTTAATAAAGTTCTATTATTACATTCCTTATGCAGCAAGGCAAGAGGCTAGAGATTTATGATTTTATGATGCAAAAAATAAGGTTTTATTGGATTATCAAGAGGAAACCAAAAATCCATGTTTTAATACCAGGGGGTGGGTCAAGTGATTTTCAACCTTGCTTTGGGGGTGGATCAGTCATTTTTGTGCCGAAGAGAGGGGGTGGGCCATAATTTTTTTTATCAACCACATTTCCAAATGCTCCAGCCCACCCCTTTTACTTTTTTACCAGTCCCTAACAGTACTGTAACTTGTTTACATTAACCTAAGACTCCGAAAATAATCTACTTTAAATATTTTTAAAGTGCTCCTATCAGCGTTGCACTATGTTGACGGGATCAAGAGTTGAGAGTGGGGCCTGTGATACTTATAACTTTACAAACGACACTTTTGGGGCGATTGACTCTCAGGGAGTCATTCAGTTAACAGCATGCAAGGCTCTGTTTCAGGATAATCTGGAAGAGACAAATTGTACTTTTGAGCTAGAGACTCGGGCACAAATCTGCCACCTAAGAAATGAAATGTGCCCTGAAAGTGTTTAGCACAAAGTTTTGGAGCTGTGAGAGAGATCAAGAAGTCTGGTTGAATTCCATCAGGATTTCCATCTTCTACATGCCAACCTAAAAGTTAATTGAAGAACAAGGGACAGAAGTCAGTCCTGGACTCAAAAAAGGGTTAGTAAGTCTAAGGCAAACTCCCTTGGATTGAACCCACTTAAGCCATCTGCAAAATATCAAGGTGTCCAACTAGTTTACTTTAAGAGCCAACCATACTGGCATCACCTAATAACATTGATTTGTGTATGTAATCAGTGAAAACAAACCATCTTATAGTTTACAGCTTGGTCATGTAACCCTTATGATCTTTTTGAGTCTCGAGAAATAAATTCAATGGTCAGCTTTATAGTTATAATTAACTTTTTGTGGCAGCAGTGTTGCTGATTTGTTTTATTTTCTATGCATGACTACTTAGCATGTTATAACATTCACTGCTGCTCTATACATTCTGGGCACACAAGAACTCAGCCTGAAATCATTATAAAATTTTAAATTTGAGTCTAAAATACTAGTAATATTGATTAAATTTGATGAGATACGAGTTAGGACTTTTTAATGAATGGTGAAACATTTCATTATTATTCTTCTATGTTCATATTAATTACCCACAATGGCCTCAATTTAATGCAAAAATTCTTTTGAATTCCGTCAACTGGAAGGAGTAAGTATGTGTTTTTTAACCAGGCTCAAAATCAGTAAAGAATTTACTATATGACCAAAAAGAGAACTTTTTTCTTGCAGACCAACTCAGAGAGTCCCGAGTGGGCAAGATGGGTCTAACTGGCCTACTTGTGTGGCCAATTAGAACACAGAATACACTTCACCTTGTCCCCTTGTTGATTCAGCCATATAATAAAGACTACCTGTAGTAATGATATTATTGAGCTGCCATTGAAGAACATGGTCTTACAATTCTATTGTACATTTCTTCTCTATCTCGTCTAACCTGGGGAGCAAGGGATGGCACAGTGGTGAGAGCACTCGCCTCGGGGATGGCACAGTGGTGAGAGTGCTTGCCTTCCACCAATGTGGCCCAGGTTCAAATCCCGGGGTCGGCGCCATACTAGTGTGGGTTGAGTTTGTTGTTGGTTCTCTCCTTTGCTCTGAGAGGTTTTTCTCCGGGTACTCTGGTTTTCCCCTCTCCTCAAAAACCAACATTTCCAAATTCCAATTCGATCAGGAATCAGGTAGACGAAGAACCACTTTGTAGATGTGCTACCTCCAATTCATTATAATAATTATCATCATTATTATTATTTACCTGAAGGGATGTCCACTGAGCAAACAGGAATGTTAACATCCTTCAAGGTTGATAATGCATCTCCAAATGGTGGCCTTGCATTCCCTTTAAAACTGAAGCCAAAAATAGCATCGACCACCAACCTGTATTGTTCATTAATCTGGCTTGACGATGGTAACTCAGGAATGAATGGTATGTCCATCTTTTCACACTGTGTCACAAGGTTTTTGAAAATCTGTTTCTCTGACTTCTTGGGATAATAAATCTTTGGATTGTATCCCTAATATAACAGTGAACAAATCTCACTATTATTAAGGAAGAGTCTCTAATCAACAATAACACTGGCCAGTATCAAGTTTTAAGTGCAATAATATTATGAACGCATATGAAGTTCTTTGTTATTATGTTTAGTTTGGTTTTTTTGCTGTATTATTTTTGGTTATTGTCTGCTACGAATCTAGAGTAAGGGCCTGTTTACATGGAGGTGGGGGACCCCAGGTAGGTGAGGTAACCCGCTTAGGTGGGGTAACCCGCCTGTCCATATAATCTCTCATTTTCATTTGATCACGTTTACATGATAGGTGGGGTGACCCTCCAAGGCGGGTAGCCCGGTCTACCAGACCGGGTTACCCTCTCAGCCGGGGTCACAATTTGTCATGTAAACGTTTCAAGGTGGGGTAACCCGCCTGGCCGGGGTCGGATTCGTGATACATCAAATTCGCGCAAAATTCACTTTCGCGGTGTCTTTGCATTATGATTAAAGTTAACAATAGAAAGCTATTGCACTGACGGGTTGCAGCAAGAGCAACAAGTGAGTGAAAAAGTGCATTAATCGCCAAAACTCGTGGTTTGCCAGCATTTTTCTTGTTTACGTGCTTAGCGACCATTCAATAATCTTGAGAAAGTGCACCCCGGGAAGGCGGGGTTGTAAGATTGCATGTAAAGGCGGGTTATTTTTTTACCCCACCTAAGCGGGTTACCTCACCTACCTGGGGTCCCCCACCTCCATGTAAACAGGCCCTAAATGTTGTCTTGTCTCCTGGGCTTATCATTTTTGGTGGGTGATGCACTGTGGGTAATATCAAGTATGATTAAGATTGTGATTATTGTCTCTAAGGCCCAGTTCAAACATTGAACTTTTCATGTGCTGAGCTTAATACCTATTTCGGTCAACCCATCCATACAATATAATAATTGTTTTCATCTCAGATTTCAGCTGTAGACCCCACCCCACCCTCCTTCTGTAAACCCCATATCTTTAGTATGCCTAAAATCCTGGTTAAACCTTCCCCTAGGTTGAGAAAACAGCAGGCATTTCTCATCGTCACCACTGGTTTCCCTATCAAAGGAAAGACTGAAGAACGAGTGCAGAAATTTCTCACGATAATATGCTACATGTACTTCCCAGATCTGGTTTGTGCTTCAGATTACTTTAAAATTTGCTTCATCCAAACAGAAGTGCTGTCCAGATCTGGGTACTCACTACCCTGCACTCATCACACAACATTTTTTGAGGAGACAAGTGGTGGCATTGTGAAATGTTGGCTATTTTTTTAGGCTTAGCTGCCCCCTTCTTTAAGTCCATCTATTTGTAACTACACAGTATTGATATAAATAATTGGGCTTAAAGATACATGTTCTTGTCCTGTTACAGTAAGTTGAAGTTTTTTTTTCATGTTTTTCTTGGGGCAAAATAAAGCATGTTTTAGAAACTGCTTGTTTTGAGAATCTCTTTGTTAAACTGCTCTTAAAGCCCTCCAGATCTATATAAACCCCTCCCAAACTGTAAATAAATAAACTTAGGGCTTTTAAGCCAGAATTTTGAGGCAGAATTCTAATAAGTGATTTTTTTTTCCATTGTTCGTTTTAATGGAAAAAAAAATAATATAATATAAGAATTTAAAGGTGTACTGCACAGCTTATAGAATGTAGTTGATAACAATGTAATGCCTGATGCATAGTTTATATGCATGGGGATCTACTCTCTCTTGACAATATTTATCATAAACAGACATACAAACATCTTAAGGTGCCTAGCCGCAACTAGTCCATCGCCTCCATTGTTACCAGGGCCGCTACAGACCAGAAGGTTTGGATGACTAGGTCCTCTGGGATACGCTTTGGTAAGAGCTACAGCCACGCTTAATCCAGCCAACTCCATCAGCTGGTCCACGCTGAACGAATACTCATTAAACAACTCTTGATCTATTTTTTGTGCTTCGTCTTGGGTTAAATACTTCATGGTCACTCTGGTCGTGCAGAAGTGCTTAAAATACTGAGGAAAACGCCCACAAAGCGGCGGTGTGCGGAAGATCATGAACCCAGCGAGGCCACTCAAACTGCCCACGAGAAGGAAAAACCTCCAGCCCATGCCTGCGATATTCAGAAGTGACCAGCGGCATTTTAAAATCGCCAATTGTCACGCAACGCAAACCTTTTTCCTAACGCAACACATAAAAAATGATTTCGTTTATCAATAATATTTTCTAGCGGGTTTGCGGACGAAAAGAAAGGGTAGCCTGCCCCACAGACGAAACAAAACTCTACTAACCGAGGTTAAATTACGTCTGCAACGCAGGAAAAGGGATACCTCTCACCAGGAGCCGATTACTTAATTACTATCGGCTCCTGCTGTTACAAATTGGGGAGAGGAGGGGAGCCACGGGCACCACAGGACCCTGGCAGGGACTCTCTTGAGAAGAAGTTTATTTTTCACTCTCCATACTATGCTTTACCCTTAACAATGAAGAAAAAAAACACGCAAAGACTAAACGTTTGACTTTTATTAGGTCTTTCACTGTGGTAATCACTTGGAAAGATAATAAACGACGTCCTTGACCAGTCTTCCTTTTCACGGTCCTGTTAATAAAAGCAATGAACACTGTCTTAACAAGAACTTACGTTAGCGAGGTGATAAGCGTATGGATGGGTTTTATCGCAGCTCGCTTTAAACAGATAACTAGAAATACGTTTATCCCATATTCAGATTCAGGGTCAGTGGCAGTATAATCGAATGTTTTACGGTCATTTCGCCCCTGTTACTTAGCCATCTATTTCAGAACGCGGCATATTTATTGGGAGCTTGCTTGTTTTGGTTTAAGGCTTATAGATCGACACATAGCCTGTTCCAGGCTGTTCCAGGTACATAAGTGGCGAGTAACGCGAAATGGCTCTCTAATCAGCCGTACGGGAAAAGATGGCGGCTGTACATTTTACCACAATTCCTTTCCAACCTAACACGGCCAATTACACATAAGGTCGTATTTTTTTTTTTGGAGGGTGGGGGGGCGAAATTCGTCCCTGTAATAGCAACATTGCCTGTCACAGGTTTTCAGTTTATACAACTTTTCTGTGCATTTTCATGAACAATTTTATGGTTTTCATACGCTAAGAACTGTGGGTAAATGTACCAGTCGCCATCTTTTTAGGTACGGCGGATTGCGACGTCCTTGCTGCCTAAACGTCTGGGACAGCCTACTCGATAGAGGGTAGATTTACCCTCAGTTTTAACATAGGATAACACAAACAGACCCACGATAAATTCCCTCGGAAAGCAGATGTTTGAAGGCGGATTAGCGCTTATCCGGGTTAAATTTGGACCGGGTTTCTTCTTCTTTCGTTCAAAAGCCTTTTTTCAGTGCAGATGATTTTTTTTCTGTTATACCATCCAATCATCAAATTGTTGGCAAAAAGAATTAAACTGAATTGGCGTTTTACGCTTTCATATCTAAATTCAAAATTTTGCACTTACCCTGGGTTATCTTAACCCAGCTTCAAACATCCCGGCCCAGCTGGCCCGAAAACTTACCGGGGCTTTCCAGAAATGAGTCCCAGGATGAAACAGGCCATGGTTGTATGTAGGTAGGTCAGTACAATAGGTGATCGGAAGAAACTGTCATATATACGACCGAAGTTATATCCGTCAAAATGCGACCCTTTAACTCAGCTATAGACCCTGCTGATAGGTAATTTATGAATTTACTTAGTGAACGTTTTTTACCTTCAACTCGGTTCAAATTTATGGTCGATGCTCAGCACAGATTGCATGTCTTTTTGCAGTTCTTCTTCATGAAGCTATGGGTCGTACAATACTTTGTGTATTTAGCACAAGAACCATATGTGTCAACGCACGGGACTGTTGGACGGAAGCATTTATTATGATATGAGTAAAACTAACAAGTTCCGTTGAACACTTTGTTCAACAGGTCGGTCCTGACTTAAAGACAAGGAAAAAAATAACCACTTTTTTAAGTCGCCCCACGTAAGGGAATCCAAGACAGTTTTGGATTCTCGATTTCACACATTGGATTCCGGATTCCTGGTACTGGACTCCAGTCTTTGTCAGAGGAACTTTGGATTTTGAATTCCAATCGTTAATGGGATTCCCGATTCCTAAAGCTGTATTCCAGATTCCAAAGCCCAGGATTCCAGATTTCACAAGCAGAATTTTACCGGATTCCGGATTCCACTAGCCAACATTTCCCGGATTCTGGAATTCCCTTACATGGGAGGAATCAAGGACCCAGACTCGTTGGGATCATAACACTTTACGCTCGACATGGCTCAAAGCTACCCTCTTATAGTTATCATTTTTGTACCAGTCTAACGAGTAATTGTGCATGTAGGCAAAGAGAGGTCAGTAGTCCTGCACACTTTGCTGAAAGTTCACCTAAGGATTTTTTCCCTTGAATTATCCAGACAAATCTTTCTCGATACTCTCAATGCACTTTTTAGCTCTTTCATGGCCTTACCTCTTCGCTTTAAGAAGGCAACTTACTAAACTTTAGTTTTCATTCACAGTTATTTACATGTTTTTTTTTATATCTTGAAGCTTACCTGTTGTTGGAATGGGTGCTCCTAAAAGAATAATGATTCGTCATTGTGAGTATTGAAAATCAAGAATATTTTTTAAATCAGTGACGGATCCAAAAATCTATGAATCTGTCAGTAAACGCCGGCGAATGAAAATATGGGATGAAAAAAAAAAAAAAAGTTTTGCAAAGAACCTATCACTCACTGATATGTCCTTTGGAGTTACTTTTATCCAGTAACTAGATGAGAACATAAGTTGTCAGGGTGTAGACGAAGGTAGACTACGAGCAATCTCTCTTTTTTCTTATTCTGTCGGGCGAAACGCAAGAGAAACAAAAATGACCAGGCGCGTGGCAGAAAGCGCCTCGTCTCTTGCGTTTTGCCACTCAACGCTCACGCGCGCGTGCACTCCCCTCATTAGTCTAAGGTGAGGGCAATTGCTCAAATTGCTTAATACAGATTGCTACCCAAACATAAAAAGAGAGTTAATTCCACGCTACGTTTCTGCTCAAAGTTAAACTAAGGATCCTTTCCCTTGAATTCTACGGGCAAATCTTTGTCGATACTCTCATTCACTTTAGCTCTTCCATGGACTTAGCTCTTCGCTTTAAGACGTTAAATTACTAAAATTTAGTTTTCATTCACAGTTATTTACGTGTATTTTTTTTTTATTTTGAAGCTTACCTGTTGTTGGAATGGGTGTTCCTAAAAGAATAATGATTCGTCATTGTGAGTATTTCGAATCAAGAATATTTTAATTTGAAATTTGAGGATCCAAAAATCTATGAACCTGTTATAAACGTGACCGAATGAAATTAAAATATGAGATGAAAACAATTTTTTCCAAAGAACATATCACTCACTGATATGTCCTTCGGAGTTAATTTTATCCTAACTAATTGAGAAGTCACAAAAGTTGTCAGGATGTGGACGAGGGCAGACTTCGAGCAGTCTCTCTTTTTTGCTATGTTCTCTCGTGCGAAACGAGCAAGAAACGAAAATGAGCACGCGCGTGGCAGAAAGAGCCTCGTCTCTCGCGTTGCCACTCAACGCTCGCTGCGTGTGTGCACTCCCCTCACTGAATCTAAAAAAATGAGAGACGCTCATAGCCGGCTAAGGCGAGGGCATTTGGTCAAATTGCTTTATCCAAGTTGGTACCCATACGTAACCGAGTATTTTTGTTTGTTTGTTTTGTTTTAGCGTATGGAAATTGATTGATGAGTAGATCACAATTATGTCTGCCAAAGTCATATCAGTATCAAGGAAAAACATCAAATCAGACTTACCACCCCCACCCCCAGTGTTTTTACATTTGTACAGCAGATTCATCTGTTTGACATCAATAGCACTGGGACCTCTCCTCTGGCCGATTTGAGCCTGGGGGTTTAAAGCCGCACGAGAACTGCCTGTTAACATGTGATCAGGACCAGACCAATACTTTGGCGGGACAAAAAATATACGCCGAAGGAAGAAAACTTCCTTTTGCTCTCTAAAAGAGGCTAGACCTTCGCTGCAATGGCTCAGATCATCACGTAAACATAGAAGCCGTCTGAGTAGAGACTTAATACAATAGTAACTAAAAGTGTCTTGAAAACAAAGGTCAGTAAGTGCCAAATCGAAGTCTTTTATTCCCATTTCAAACTTATATGACATTATATGGTCTTACCCCAGGTTTCTTGACTACAATTGTTGGCTGTCCGTTTTTGCTGAAGTAACTTGCACCGTAATGCATTATACTGCCATAATCATATGGAGTGCCGAGGGAATCGACCGAGTAAGAACTCTGCTTCTTAAAGTTGACCTCAAAGCCTATATATTTTGACAGAAGAAAGGAACAAAATATCTATTTATTGATTGCTTTGCTTATAGGAATATGAACATGACCTATTGAGCATAAGTTAAATTCTCCCCGTTGAAAAGTTCACTGAATGAAAACAGTTACTACTCATGATGTAAAATAGGGCTGAAAATGATTGTATGTTTCACGGCCGAAAGTTGCCTATGTGATGGAAACCGATATAACGGATCGAAGCGCCAAGAAGAAATGACGGAAATTCGGTCCTACACTATTACCGATTTCCAATGGGAGATTGTCTTATTGAAAATTCACTGGATCAGCACTGTTTCCACGAACAAGTTTTGGAAAACAGCTCTCCCTCCTTAACGAAAACTTGACAAGAAATGCATGCAATGTTATGGGCTATTAGCCTTTTTTAATAGTTTTAAGCGCTATTAGAGATCCTGTAGAGATTTATTCAAAACCTCATAGTTATCCTGTTTAATATGGTTTCTTACTTGCAGAATTTTTTTACCCCTGAGTAATGTTATAACGTTTAACCTGTTTTTACACGACCCCAGATTGTCTTTGAACTGTTATCGTATTAAAGTAAAGGATTTGATGATGATGATGATGATGATGATGATGATGATGATGATGATGATGACGTTGTTGATTTGCTTCCTGCTTGTGTAAAATGGCCGGAGGCTTGCCAAGTTTTAATTTGAAAAGGTAGAAAAACAGTTGTGAAGAAGGAAAACTAGCTTGTCAAGGAAATTCCTATTCGTGTAGATGGCCCTTGTTCAGAGTACCATTCAAACCTGAATATCTAATCTCCGCGAAGAGAGCCACAGAAACTTGAAATATTGACAACCTGCATTCCGGCAGGGCGATGAACGAGGGATAATAACAAATCAAAGCTATAAGTAATGGCGATGCTCTTTATTTGATGAAATTTCCGAAAAATTACCGGAAGGTAAGGTAAACCAATAATTATTTCATCGTTCTTACCTGCTTTAATGTTTTCAGTGCGGATGGTGACGTAATCATCTCTATCTGGACGGGACTGTTCGTGATAAAAGCCGAGAGCGTGAGCTGGAAATTGATAATTGAATACAACGATTGAGCACACGTAATTAAACAAGTTGAATATTGGTGGTGAGCCGAAGTACAATGATATATCGATAAATAAAAAACGTCAGACATTCTTCCCTTTCGGTAAGATGAGATGCAAACGTTAGCTGCAAAATGTCAGGCTTATGTAATGGAGTTTGGTGGAATTCTTTTAAGTGACGACTGAATCGAAATTTTGCTGGTGGAACAGTATTCCCATTTAATTTACTTAATGCATGGCCGGGCGAAAGGGAGGACATGATCAACTATAGCTAAATTTGCTTTAACGGTTCCCGTAACGTATTAGATCCCACGTCGTTAATTAAAAAACTAAACTAATTTTTTTTATTAAAATAGGTCTAAAGTCGCATACCCATCTCATGAGCGACAGTACCCATTTGCCAACACCCTCTGGCCAAATTGATTATCTGCTTTCCGCTAATTCTGCCAACGTAGGATGAACATCTAAAAAACGGGGGGGGAAAGCACAAAAAGCTAATTCCAGAATTTCTGTCCAAGCCGTCAAAAGCTAATAGCTATTTGAAAAATGACTCAATATAGCAAGTAGATCAAGGTTGTGTCGAAGGCCCAGCCACAGTTGTTATCAAAGGAGGAGAGTGCAGTTTTGTTGAGTAATTCATATTTGATTCAGACACTTACCCTTTCCCCTTGAAGAACTCTACATAATCTTTCTCTGTTGTCCTCTTCTTAAACGTGATGCATGTCTTGCTACTCCATTCATTCATGGCCGCAGTGATAGCTTTTACTGCTATGGGTTCCGACGCTGAATATGTACGATAAGCGCTTTTAATTAAGTCATATCATATGCATGTTATTTTGTAATATTGCTTTTCAGTGAATGCAATCCGACCTATAAATCTATGATTTCACATACGTTATACATAAAGAAAAAGGCTCAAGCAAAATGCTGAAGCTACTCTAGGTGGTGTTGTACACGCATATACTGGCATTATTGTCCTGTGTTTAACATTGTATTGTTTGTATTGTGTGAAAGAGTAGTAACAACCACGCGTTTTTAACAGGAGAATACCAGTGCTCAGTAATCAAATACAATTTGTAACACTCAGATAATAAATCCCCGGGAAGGGGGGGGGGGGGTTACTCCTGGGAATTCTTGGTGGGGGTGTGGCGCCCGGTTCTTCAAATCCTGACCCGTTTTCAGACCAAAAAATGTAATTTTCCATACCCGTTTTCAGACCTGGCCTTTAGGCAGAAATTATGTTATCATTACTTAGATTAGAGCGAAAACAAAACATTATTCAAATCCTTTTCGAATTCGCATGTTTCTCTTTCTTTCTTACACATTTGGAATTGAAACGGTAAATACGTTCATACACTCCGGTAGTTACCTCGAAAACCCTACCCGATTCCAGACCAAAATGGGCAAAGTGTATACTCGTTTTCAGACCAAAACGGCGCAAAACCCTACCAGATTGGGGCGGCACATACCTGTACCTGTATGGCTTATATAAGGGAGTACCCCCCTCCCCCGACAATAAGTCATGGCGTTATCGACATTAGCGAGGACTTAAACTAGGTCCTTTATGAAAGAATGACTTACAAATAGTAGGATCAAATGTGTAGGGTACCACTCCATTGGGCCATTGACGCCGAGAGTACGCACTGCTTCCGCGAGTAAAACCGCCATTTAAGTCAAGTCCCATGTCCACAGCAAAACGCTGTGCTGGAGTTAAGATGATGTCTCCCTCAAACAGCCCCAGTTCATTAGTATTCTCTGTGGGAACAAATTAAAAAGAAAAAAAGAAAGAAAGAAACGCGGTCTTGAAAAGACTACTTATCACAAAGCACTTTTTCCTCAGGACTGTGAAGTGTGGTATATATATATATTGAATTTTAATTCATAATAAGCAATTCCGGGCACAAAAGCAAGACACACGAGCCAAAAGAGGTACCCTCTCTTGTTAAAAGCTTTTTTAAAAAAGTAATCGATCTTGATCTTTGCCCTCAATCAGTCAATTTAAAACTAATCAGGCAATCTGCCACGCATGTTTAGCATTAGCCGGAAAGATCTGCGAAAAAAGGGGTCTTTACATTAGGGTAAGAAGGTGTCTTTTTCAGACGGTAGACTATTTTTCAATTAATAAGAAACCTTGTATTTCTCCTTTATTTAAAACTGAAGCTAGTACCTTCTGGATTTTCGGCCAATGCAATTCCAGCAACTAATAGAACCACCAACAGCTTCATGGTGTCAGCAATCATCTGTTCCTTATTTTTAGCGTCAAAGTCGGTTAGAAAGTAACTTACCTAATAGTAAGCCAGACTTTTATGCTAGAACGCTCATTTTCAGCTGCTTGCCTGATTAATCACATCTGCAGCCTGCATAGGGTTCCTTTCAAAAGGATTGTTTTGTAGTTTCGTTCATCGTTATTGTGGTTTTTGTATTTTGCCAGTAACTTTTAGCAGGTGATAACACCCTTAAAACGCCTTGCACACAAAAGTACATTGGAAAATCAAATAATTATTTTTTTAGATCGTATTACAACAACGGAGTGTTAATCGAGACAAATTGAGTTTGCATTTATGTGATAAATGTATTTATCATTCTAGGTGACAACCACCCATAAAACCGCGCGTCTGACTGAAAAATGGTAAACGAGCCAGAAAGAAGCACCTAATCATCTTAATCTTTAATGTAACCCGATACAATAGTTCACGAAAGTATTCATAAAATTTTGCCAGAACTTTGTCTTTGAATTACTTCAAGAATTTTTTATTATCTCTGTCGTCGCATCAGGGTTTCGCAAACTGCGGTTGCACCTCATGAATCATGTAAATTTTCAACCGATTTCTTACAATCTGTATAATTATCCAAATTGTGAAATCTCCTTTTCCTTGTTTGATGCGTTATATCCAAGAATAATACTCACTCTTCCTAAATTTAAGATGTACTAGCTAATAAAATATTGTCATTGTTGTCCCCAGCAAATTAAAGTATAAGAAGTACTATCATTTTCGGAAACGCGGTGGCGGGTGGGAATGTTGGCCAGTAATACGTTTATTTTGATCCGAACTGTTTTAAGACTGCTCCACTTTAGCCTTTTACTTCTTTTTGTTTACCTCTTCCAGCCGCGAAAACTATGAAATTTATTCAGATTAGTGCTTGGTGCTCCTCATTCCGCATGCACCAACTCAGGTTTTTCTTTACTTGAATCTGCGACCATAATTATTACTATATGCGTACCATTTACTTGGAACTAGGTCATTATCATTTGTTTAATATGCGTTTTTATTATTTACCAGTAAAGCCTACCCTTCAAAGCCGAAGATTGATGGCGTGGGGTCAGCTAAATATTACATGTTGGACGACCGCTGACCCCATGATCCATGACCCATGACACATGTTGGACGACCGCTGACCCATTTAACAAGTTTTCACTTCAATCTCGACCCCGGGGCTCTTCTGCGCATGACGACCGGGAATGAGATTGGTTTTCACTTCTATTTTTCAATAGCCTGCGTAGCATGGCGGTTTTGTCGAGCCGGGCGCAGGAGCGGCGAAGCCGCGAGAAAAATAAAAACCGCCTGCCCGGTTTTTCAAGTTGCTCCCGCCCCAATCTCCTCGCGGTTTCTCTGCCCTCGCCCGCCTTTATTACTTAGTTTGCCCAACCAAAACCGCCATGCTACGCAGGCTAATTTTTCAATAATGTGCCGATCTGAAGTTAAAAGTCCAAAAACGAGTACAAATTGCAAACAGGTGTTCAAAAGAGTCACCTTTAAATCATGCTTTTTGATAGAAGTTTGTAAAAAAAGAAACAGAAAATATATTTCAAGTTTTGCTTCGTTTTTGAAAATTTTGCTTTTGCAGATCTAACTTGTTATTTGATCTGAGCGGACGATCTTAGGTTACCAAGCACCCAATAGCCACGTACTTGTACACCATAACCAGTCATTTTGAAAGGCGTGTGGACTGGACAACACGCTCTATTTGGGGTCCTCAGCAGTGCAGCCTAAACGTGTGCGGTGGCCTCTGTATAGAAAAAATGTAAAATTGTCATTCCCAGCGCACAGTTTCTTTTTCAACCCATTAATGTGCCTTATCTTCAGTAAAACCTAATGGTTCTTTCAATCCCAGAGTCCGTACCATGATTATAAGAATCATGAAGTAGTTTGGACTTTAGCAGAGTCTTTGGACGAAACCTTATGGTCAGCTGCATGGTGCTACCATTGAAATGAGACCTTTCTGGCGGCACTTTCACATGGCACTATTTCTTTAATTTGTATGTAGCTCTAACTATACTGATTCTTAGAATGAAGATGATGTGAACTGCGAAAATACAACGAATATACTGATCTAATTCTCTCGATGAAATCCAAGTGGTGAAAACATGTGAAAGAAACTCTCTTCCGGTAGCTGTCCTTTCACGTGGTTTCATCATGATTGTTATGTAGCACTCAACGCTTAATAAGTCGCTGGCCAGTCAAATTACCTTTTACGAAACCTCTTCGGAAGTCTATGTTTTGGTATTAGTTAAAACGTTTGAGTTTATGGATGTCTTTTGAAATGCTTTGGTGCTGCCATTGAGAAGGACGATTTTTGCATGACAAAAATGTGGAACTTCTTCTGTGACACGCACCGTTCGCTATTGTAGATCGCATACAATCATGAAGGGAAGTCTCAACAACCCGTATAAACACGGCTCGTAATTCTAATGAATAATCGGAGTTTGCTTTGTACCAGTTCACTTTCTGTGGGTGATGGTAAACGATCCGATAAATCTCCAATACTACTAACAATGGTACAAAATCGGTGAAATTGTTAAAAATGGCTCAATTGCAATAAAAATAACGCCTTCCTGCAGCTATTTTTTCTATAAATTCTACTTACTTTGCGCAATAGATGTAGGAACGACTGCATGCTCAATGTCTCAATTTTCATTTTACCGACGTCCTGCTGAAAAGTTTACATGTCTGTGTTTTAAGCTGTGATTGAGTTTTTCATCAACGCCTATTCAACTTTTTCTTTTTTTTACCTCTTCTGCCTTTTCCGATTTCATTGTTGCGTAATTTCGAGTAATTGACGACGCTTCGTACCGTTAAACGGTGTTAAACGATTTTTAATTGGTTTCCACGAGTGAATGGCGACACATTTCAGATGTATTTAAACAGGCTTAAGGCAGATTCGTCTGAGTGCTTTAAAGAGCGGTCAATCAAGCGATAAAGATACTTTTTAGACAAGCATCTTTCCCAAGGAAGGCTACCATGAAGTTCTCGTTTATTTTTACAGCTCTCCTCATTGTTCTAGCTGATGCAGAGAATGCGGAAGGTATGCGGGATTGCAGTCGGGAGAGCTAGGGAGGGGTCGGGGCTCATTCCATATTTTAGTCTGATATTGGGCATATATTTTTATCAACCATTGTGGTCTGAAACGAGCAATGAGTTTGGTATGGATTTTTGGACAATAATGCATATTTTGACTTTGATTCCCCTCTTGAAAATGCGCTTTGAGACTTTTGATGAATTTCGAGCACTTTTTAAATGTCAAGGTAAATAGACGCAGCTGCTGAGCAGCTGGGAATATATATCAGAGAACGTGCTGCATCGGTCTGATCCTGAAATAGAATAGCTAACTTTGGTTCTTGTTCCCGACGCTTTTGTCTCAGAAATGGGTGAAGTGCACTGGAAACGAGGTTCAATGAGGTCAAGTGTCAGTTTTGCGTGAAGAAATCACCACCCGCTGAAAAGTTCCATTTTCAGTTTCGCAATGTGGAAAGTACTGTTTGAAGTGGTTTCACACATTTAAGTAAGTAGACTACTGACACGGGGGGTATATCTTGACACATCAAGAATCGATTAAGGAAGGAAAGAACTGATGTTTCAGAGGAAGTCTTTCATTGCTAACTCCGTCCTCTCTGGGTTTTTTTAATAAAAAATTCCTTATTTTCTCATTTTCTCCTTACTTTGTATCGTCACAGGCAACTATTTTTCTTGTATTGCTGGTCTTTATTCACGTTCAGTTTGTAGCCCAGCCGTTCCACCCAGGTCCACTGAAGTCGCGCGTTACCGGTTTGCGTCCTTTGCACGGAATAACTTAGTCACTAGAAACTCTCCATTGCAAATCAGTTTGTAACGTTTACGAAATCATGCCCTAGGCACTTCTCTGAGTGAAATCACTGCTTACTTCTCTCCACGTGTGCATCAACAGAGAATAAGGACTTGATGGACGCTGATCTGTTCGAAGGAGACATTGTACTTGAGCCTGTACAGAGGCTTGCGGTTGACTTAGGAATAGAGATACGCGGTAGCATGGGGAATCGTCTCTGGCCCAATGCAATTGTCCCGTACACCATTGCTCCAAGTCTGTGTAAGAAAAATTTTTCAGTGCTTACTAGAGAGCTTTAGACTTGAGGACGAGAACTGAAGTACGAGATTTAACTTAAAAAAGAGACCTCCAGGAAAACTACATTTTACTTTTTATTTTCTCCAAAAAAGTTAGTACGGTTATTTATACTGAAGGAGGTTAAACCCTCTCCCGATATGGCAAAATAATTGAACTTCTTACATTTGATAATTTGTTCCTGCCACAACGACATTCTCGCTTAAAACGCGTAGTAGAATGACGACGGCTATCACGTTTTCCCGCCAAAATGACGGTGGTTGAGAAGATCTTGTCCTCGTAGTCGTCCTCGTCTCAGAATCTAAAGCTCTCCACTATATTAGTCATGCATACCCAGACGTTCCCCCATAAACATGGCGGAGGTCACTGCCCGTCCTAAATTTTTAACGCACTCCTTAAAACAAATTAACTGGCACACAGATAGTTCCCGTCATTTTACGGGCACGAAACTATACATAAAAACCTCCACAAGGACTTGCGACAAGCAAGTCTTGGGTCAATCATTTTACCTTTCCGCATCCAGCCTTAAAACATGAAAAATAACCTGGGCTCTTTAATAGTACCACAGTCCACAAGATGTATTATATTGTATGGAGGGTGAATTATCACGAAAGTTCGTGCGTGTGAGCATTTTGGACAACAAGAACTAACTGCAGAGTAAATTTTATTGACTTTTTTTTTTGGAATTTCCTACAAATTTTAGAATCTTATTTTTACACCATAAATACACTGTAATCTTACTGGATTCTTATTCTGGTACTGTTATAGAGCCTGGATGGGTTACCTGTACTTAAAGCGGGAGCATGACATATAATCCGAAGGCTTTATATCCCTTAATTAGAAAAAAGATGATGCGCACTTAGCTCCCTTGGCACGTATTATACTCATTCTATATTTCCTTCCCCACGGACTCATTCAAGACTTGATTCTTACTCCATGCAGATGTATGGGCTGAAATAATTCGTCTATGAATTCTTTGTTCTTCTTTCTAGCTTCGCAGCCAAAAGCAATGCAGGCAATTGAGAATGCCATGAATGAATGGAGTAGTGTAAGTTGTATCCGGTTCATTCGCAGGACTACAGAGCAGTCTTACATTGAGTTCTTTAAGGGAAAAGGGTACGTTAAGTTTTATCTGTACTGACAGTAAACTTTTTAGGATTCCTGACTTCACGGACAAGCGTTGACCCGTGAACATTGTCAGATTTTGTAAGGGGGCCAACTTTGCCGATCCCTTGAAAATGGTCACATTTTGTTGGGCAAACTATACTTAACAGTATCTAGAACATTGTCTATCAAATGTTCTTGAAGTGCTAAGAAAAAATATCCGGCTTTTATTTTCTCTCTAGCTGTTATTCTAGCCTAGGAAGAACTGGAAAGAAGCAACAACTTAGTTTGGCGGCCGGATGTTGGGGAAAAATTACGGTGGCACACGAAATTGGTAGGTTACTTGCAAGTTAAATAGCCGTTAGGTCTTGCCTAACAGGCTGAACAGGGACTGTGAAAAGTATGCGTGGTCGGGCTAGAAAGCTAAAAACGCCCATGCAGGAACTATACTCACAATCCAAACCCAGTTAAGCTACATGGTTAATTCGTGTCATGCATTCGGATGGTACACCATGACAGTTGGAAACTTAGGGCGTCGCCATTCCATTGCGAAACAAAGAGACCAGTTTGTAAGGGTCGGTACTGGGTGGGAAGAAGGCATTTACAATTGGCGCATAAAATGAAAAGTGAAGTAAACAACTCAAGACTTTTTTTTTCTGTTCACAGCACATGCCCTCGGCTTTGCTCACGAACAGTCACGACCGGATCGAGATGAATACGTCACAATTAACTTTGAGAACATCCAGGCAGGTTGGTAACAGTTTGGTATTTGTAAAGAAAGCGGAAAGATATAACTTCACTTTGGACTACTGCAAACGGCTACTAGTGCAGGCATGTAGCAGGAGAAAAACAAAAAGAATAAGACCATATAAGATGTCTATCTCTAAAACCCAAACTTTATTTAAGGACCTTAAAACCAACCTACGTGCATAATAGGGACTTCACATAGCATCGACGACGGCAACGGAAGCGAAACCGTCAATATTTAAACGAGTTCGCGTTTTCACAAACTTTGTGGCGTTTATTCCAACTCGCTTAAAATGTCAAATTTAAGTCGGAATTTTTCTGCAGATGAACTAGTGGGAACCACACCCAAGTTCAGAGGACAAAGAAACGACACACCTCGTCGTGTGTTTACGCGTCCTCCATAAGTCGCCGTATAAGGCACTTTCACGTCGTGATCCTGCAGGAACGGCAAAGAAAGTTAGAAATGTACAAAAAAAAGTGTGCTGCACGTGCAAAATTATTGTTTTGCTTAATAAACCTATCCTGACCTATTCCTTTTTTCGCCATCTCGTTGCTGTCGCCGTTAGTCGAATGCTCTCTTATTTTATCTTTAGCTAGTTAAGTTCAGTCTTCTTAACTTCCATTTATTATCTGTTTAGTAATTAATCATGATTTATGGCCTTTCAGGAAAGCAGCATAATTTTAAGAAGTACTCGTCTTCTCAAATCAATTCCCTCGATACCCCATACGATTATGAAAGTGTTATGCACTATGGAGCTAAATACTTCTCAAAGAACAATCTACCGACAATTGTGCCTAAGCAGACTGGGGTAAGTATTAAGTATTAAGAAATACATTCCAATCATTTCAGTATTGACAACATCTTGAATTTTTGGGCATAAGAAAATAGCAAGAGCGCTGGGAAAGCTAGCCAAAGCATGTAAAGGTGGATAACGATTCGAATAATTTGGCCGATGGAGAACGGAATGCACAGTCAACCATTTGCTCTGTTTGTCTTGCGTTCGTGGTTATTTAATTCCATTTATGTTCAGTCGAAATGCAAAATGACCAGTTGTTGGGTATCATTTGCAATTTCCATATGACTATATGTCTGGCAGGAAATTAGGGCTGGAGGATGTTTGCTAATGCCAGTCTTAAGGAGCCTCTTAGGAACTTGAAGTCAAATGCTTTTCGCGCCAGAAAACCATCAAAATTACTCCTGTACATTTCTTTTCGTGTAAAATATTTATTCAGACGCGGATCCACACCGGCTTCCACACTGTTTTACGGAAATCGGTCTAATTTTTCATTATAAATATATTTTTAGTAATAAAAAACACTTTCCAAGTTGAGATCTGGCCCTGGAGGAGCCTGCCCCAGGACCCAATAGAAGCTTGTGCCTTCGGCGCTTATTTAGGAAGGGTCAGTATCTATCCTAGATCCGCGCCTGTATTCATGCCATATGCCGAGATTTTTAAAATTTTTTTTACCAGGTAAAGATTGGTCAACGAAAATATCTCAGTGGAATGGACATTCTCCAGATGAACTTACTTTACAAATGCCGTTAAGCAAGTGCTTTTGTAACCTGCGTAACAGGCGCTTGGAAGTAGTGGGCACGAGAAAAAACGGGCGCGCGAGAAGGGGACACGCGTGTCTCCCTCGCGCGCGTCCGCTCTCTCTTTCACGCACTACTTCCAGGCGCCTGTTACGCAGGCTAGTGCTTTTGGTAATGTTGAACTGTTAGGGAATGCCGCTTTACACGACAATTGCTTGTTAATTTATGTCGTATGCCGCGTGCTTTAGGCTTACAGTACCTTTCTCATATTACTTTCATTACGGTTTTCATTGTTATACAGTCACGTACATCCCAGTGTTATTGAAAGGCTAGAATGTGTTTTCTCCAATGGTGTGTACTCTCATTGGTTACTTGAGGTCACATGATATCCAACAATAAACACTTTTATAACTGACTGGTCCGTAGGGACACAGTTAATTTTGTGAACACTCTTACTTATTCTTCGGCCATTCCAACTTCAGTACAAATAAAATACAAACTGCGGTAACCGAACGTGATGAAACAAAGCAAAGTTTTTAAAGACTTGACGTTTCGTATGTAACAACATACATCTTCAGAAGTGACGTTTAAAAAAAGGGCAGTAAAATTTAAACATCCAGAAAAAACTGGAACCTAATAAACAGGTTAAAACAATAACTAATGACAACAAATGTTGATAACGGACTCAATTTGAAGTCTGCAGGAAATTATAATATATGATGCCAGAAGAGAAAAAGTTCATTTTGTTTCCCGAGAATCTCAATGTTTCCCTCGGCTGCCCCAGTCTTCAGATGATCTGTTATATAGCTGGAAATTCATTAAACCTCGCTGTAACGGAACTCGTCGGTCAACATTGGCGAGTAACAGTGCACTGTTACCCTCTAACGCCATAGAGTTTTGCAATGTTCCCGGCTGAGAGATTTTGGCGGGAAACAGTTTCAATGGTACATGTCATGTGACCTTTAAGCAACCAATGAGAGCGCAAGCTGTTGGGAAAAAAAATTGCTTTTTCCATCAAAAGTTCTGAATGGACAACATTAAAAAGCCGTGACGTTAGAGGGCAACAGTGCACCCGCGAATGCTAACTTCTCTAGTCTACTCGCTGAGATTTACTTTCACAAAAAAAATCTGTACACGTAGAAGATTTTTCTCGTTGTATTTTATTTTGTTCTTTACCCGTTAACTTTAACTTGAGGCTAAGTTTAATAATACACAGAGTCCTGATAATAGGTGTTCTCGACATTTCAAGTAACTAATTATTTTTAAAATCTTTTTAGGATCTTCATCATGAGGGAAAAATTAACCGAGATGAAGAAAACTGAAATATTATTGTATTGTATGATCACTGTGAATCAAAATAAACAGGGACACCCAACGACGACTTCCTATCCAAACTGTAGTTTTTTTATTGCTCTAGAAATATATTCTAAGCAGTACCGTAAAACTTTTATCTGTTTGGTCATCCTAGGGGACTTTGAGTCTTTTCAAAATCAGTCAATTGGGCTTCAGTATTATATTTGCGTAAATTTTAGATGCAATTTATCGCTTTACCAATGTGAGAATTTTTCTGATTCCTATTTCAATCACATTATTGAATCCGAAAATTTAGGTTTTCTTTTTCTACGAAAAACAGCATTACTCGGGAAGTGAAATGTGAAAAATTAAGCTTCAGAAAATCGTAGAGAATTTAATAGAAAAGTTTCGAAAATTGTACATGCCGGATGGAACGGTCATCTGAGAGATTTACGTCCGTGTCTCAAGCAATAGAAAATTCTAGGCAATATTTGCTTCTCCGGACAGATATTTTACAGAAAACAGTCGTTGGGTACCCCTGAATAAAGCGTGGGATAAAATAATCCTCAGTGTCTCATCTTGCTGTTGTTCCCCGCTAGTATTGCCTTTTCACAGGCTATTCATAACGGAGCTGTAAAAAAATTAATGAGCTCCTTCACTGTCTCTAACACACGACACACGCAAACACACCCGCACACTTTGCACCCCTCTCCGCTATCCGAGCCGGCATCTGAGACAAGCTGTTTCTATTTAAAGGATGATTTCAAGTACTTCCTGATGACCCTACTAATTTTTACAGTTAACATTTTCTGTGATTATTAATTGAAAAGTGTAATACCATTTTTTAACAAAGCGTGTCAGCTTGCCAAGTACGCTAGCCTTGCTGTTATTACATGTTATTACATAGCGCGACAGCGATTTTTATTAGAAACAGCGCGACAGGTGCATTTACAGAGAAGCCTGTTCCAGGCTCTTAGAAAGCTTGCCTTTTCATTCGTCCTGACTAAGCCGTGTAAGCGGACAAAGTGTTACAATTGACTATATATATACGACCTACGACAGAACACGCGAGTCCTTACTCAGAGGCCGGTTGCTGCAACGAATGTGCAATGTTGGTCTCAGTATTGATTTTTCTGAGGAAAAAAAGCGGTGGATGATGTCAAAATTTTCTAAACATACGTTCATGCGTTAAATAGGACTATTTTTTCCCCACTGATGAACAAATACAAGCTGCCCTTATAAATATTAGTTTGACACTCTCTCACTCAACCGTTTAGGCCATCCCCATAAAATGTTTCTTTTCCCATCGCCCGACCGACCTATTTTTTTGGAAAAGTAAAAAAAAAAAAATCCAGAATCACTTGTAAAGAAGCAAGTACTTTAATTTACAAGCACACGATCTTGTCTTATTAACACCAATTGTCTTAAATTATCATCGATACTTCGATTTTGTGGCCTTTTTAGACATTTGATAGTCCTGTTAATATACATCTTTTACCATCTGATTATGTCTTGCAAACTAAACGTGAGATTTAATATGCAATCATGTGTTCATTCTTTTTTTTTTTTTTTTTTTCCCGACCGACCCACCCACCTTCACGAGAGGGAGGGCGATGGGAAACGAAACATTTTATGGGGACGGCCTAATCTAAACAAAATATTCTGCGGTAAGTGCTACTGAGCGCATTTCGAAATTCTCGCAGACGTAAACAGTACATTAGCGGATTCAGAGAAGAGTTACAGAGCATCAATGTCGTAGTAAATTCGTAGATAGCAACTCCCTCTTTTGTTTTCGTGTTAGACATGTTGTTTATCGCTGTGGCGACAAAGAAGGGCAGGTAGCAGAGAAGGAATGTAAAAAAGACGTAGAATGTGTTAACAGCAGATTTCCGGAGTCTTTTTGAACGAGCAAGGTCAAATTGGGCCGTCTGTGTAAGCATTTGGCTATGTATTTGGGCTTTGTGCCTTTTAACAATAGCGTACAATTTTATGTAAATGGCAAATGTTAGAAAAAGTGACAAGGCAACGACAACGGCTGCTAGCGTTGAGTAAACTTCAAAACCTTTCAACCAAACCAGGCAGAGCAAAGCGTTAGTTACCCACATAACTATCTGTGTAGTGTTTATCCATCTCTCGGTTATATACTCGCGGTATCTCAAGTTCAGGCGAAGTGCCAGGTATCTGTCGGTGCCAATAACAGTTATGTACAAAAGTGACAGACCTGCTAAGAAGGACGTTGATATACTATAAACGGCAACCACTGCGCAAGGAGGGATACTGTTGTTGTAAAGGCTAAGTAAAACGAGAACGTATAATGGATGAACCACAAGACCAACCCCAAGGTCCGTTAAGGCCAATCCTAATAAGAGAAAATTCGACGTCGATCGTAATGAAGACGACAGGACGAAGCTAAGAAGGATCGAAACGTTTCCCCAAATAGCTGTCAACATGAGCAGGACGTTTGTAACGGCAATGGACAAGAGAGTGCTGCCTTCGCCTCGAAGCAAAAGAACAGGAACATCGATGAAGCAGTCATCGGATAATTTATCTCGAGTTGACATGTTTAAAGGTGAATAGCCCATTTCCTGCATCTCGGACCGTAAATTTTCAATGTCTTCTCCACTTCCAGCCAGTTATGAATTCCTGAATTATTATCTGACGACAAATTTTGAACAAAACCAAGAGTATTGTATTACATGTGGTAAGCTTATCCAAAGATATAATTACATCTGCAGCTCTTTTTAAAAACAGCGTGTATATTGCCAACATTTGTACACCTGTCTCGATTGATTTTTTTATGATCAATCAGCAAAGCAACAGCAGAAACCGTCCAAAAAGTGTCAATTAATCTAGCTGTCATGTTGTTACTTTAACAAATCCAAGAACTACTCAAACTAAAGTATTGAATTATTTTATGGCTTCCCTTTTTTTTAACATAACCGGAGGGTGATAACGCCTACCTTCCCATAAAAACATAATACACATGTAATTATTTTCCGACTCCCTATTTTGCCTGAGGAAAAGACAAACTGAACGATAACAAAACATTCGCTATCAGTCAAAACGCGGCCTTTATCACGCAGCTTGCGAAGATTAACACAAGACCTTTAAAAGCTCAGAGAGCCTCTTTAGACTCTTCAGTTTTAAATGTGTTATTCAGTGGTGGTCGGGCAAATCACTTCTAAAGCTTGCCGTCACAATTATTTTGCGGCCTTTTCGTTTTTAATATCCGGAGTAACAGTTGCTCCTATTTGCAGAGCCTAGCTACAAAAACAGAATAATTAAATATTTTCCTATTTTGGCGGAAAAGGTTTCATAAAAATGATTTAACTAAAAGTATTTATGTCATAGATTCTGCCAAACTCCGCCTAGCCTCCGAGGGGAATCTCACAGACAGTAGCTGTGATTATCGCTCGAATCTCAAGAGTTCTATACGTACTATCGGTTGGTTTCAATTCGGCGTTTTCCTAGCTAGAGGCGAATCTTTCAGCTGACTTACGCGTTTTGCTTCGTTGCAATGCGGGTTTCATAGAAGAAGCAACCTGTTACATAAAAATGGACTTCAATATCTAATAGCTGAGAGCTTGTTTACTAAAAGAGGCCCGAACCTATTTACATGCGTGTTGGTGTAAAATATGTTTTTTAACTCCCGCGTATTTTTCCGGTAGGAACGAATGAACTGCACTGTAACTGAATTCTATGATTTTTGGAATGGTGATTTTGAATGCGTTTTTTAGCAGGAACGAGTTTGCCGTTGGGGAAAATGAGAAATATAACGATTGTCATATTTTTCTTCATCCGCAAGCTAGTGGCAAACGTCCCTTGCGGCTAAACAGTTTGAATTATCAAATACAAGGATTTTCATTGCAGCTGAAAAATGGATTGTTAGAAGTACTAGACTTGGTGGCTTTATTTCTCCTCAAAACGGGAACCTGCGACGCGAAAAACTCTTGAGAGTTTTTCGTAGTAGATGCTATATTTTGCTTTTTTAATGTTTGTTTCGAAAAGAGAGGGACAAATACAAAGTAAGTTTGATGAATAGAAGTTCTCACACCGCTACAGCATAACCGAGTTGCTCTAAAATTTTCTTAAAGTTCCACCTATAATAACCTGTGCATTGTTTAGCTCTGTGCAGTGTAATACTAAAGGAAATTTTAACCATGGAAAATACACAATTTCTGGGTGGCGTAGGAGTTCATGAGCCTATGACGCCTATGTATTACTTGCTCTGCACTACTTGTAAAAATATAGAATGTCTGATGTGTCGAATTGAAATTTTCAGAGTGGCAGTATCCAGAAATGATATTTTTGTGACACGTTTAGGAACACATAAACGGCGAGGAACAAATTATTAAATAATAATAATAATAATAATAATAATAATGATAATGATAAATAATAATAATAAATAATAATAACAACAGTCATCATCATTATCACCATCATCATCATCATCATCAACACAGATTTAAGGTTTGGACCGGGCAATTGGAGAAGAAATACGGTCTCATGAACTGAACACTTATACCAATAATAATATTAATATTAATAATAATAATAATAATAATAATAATAATAATAATAATAATAATGAGGCTGACAGGTTTTTTTTATTGAAATGAAATGTTTTTAATCCGAATAAATTTTTCTTAGCTAAATCAACTCTTTCTAAGCTAAATTAAATGCTTTTTAAATCGACAGGAATTGTAAATAGTGTTTTGAATGAATAGTTTTTTCCTTTTTTTCGAGCGAATTAATTGTAAATAGGATTTCAAACCCAGATAGATCTTACTATCGACGTGACTTAGAACGAGGTGAGCCTAGTGAGTGAGCATAAAGTATAACCAATGCAAGGGTAAAAGTAAACTGACATAATAAAGAACTGCTTTTGATCTTATTTAAAATAGTAATAATAATAATCAAGAGCCGATTACTAATCGGTTCCTCTAATAATAATACTAAAAAAATTACACAAGCGTTAAACTTAGTTGAACTTAGTTTAATCCTGTGAATCTTAGATCCGTCGGCTATCAGTGAAAAAGAACCCGGCCTTTTCAGTTGATTATAATGATTATAAACGTCGCTTATACCCGCCTCTAACTAAAACTTTCTGCTTAACCCTTTAAGCCCCACTAGTTACCAACATCAAGTTTCTCCTAACAATATAAATACATAATCAAAACAAAAGATTATGAGAATTTCTGAAATGTTCACCCTAGGGAAAATGCTTTGATTTTTAAAAAAATTCTCTCAAGTAATTTTTAGGGAAATATATGAAGATAAGTCTGGAGAATTTGTTTCTTGATATTGGGGCTTAAAGTGTTAAAAAAATCCCTTATATATCTCTATGCGCACAAAAGATGGGAAATGGGGGAGGCGAGAGATCAGAGTAAAACAAACAACCAAACAAAACAAAAAGCACACACAAAAAGAGCAAGTTAAAAATTCATAATTATAGAGGACATACTTTTAAAGGAAAGAAACACGGAGAGCTTCATATTCAGTTATAATTTATTTCTCGTTTTCAAAAATTGTTAGGTACACAGTCAAGTAAATAACAATTTGCAAATCTTATCTTGAGTAAGCGGAGACGAATTGCTCGTTGGGGAAACCTGAAAAAAGAGACGACGACATATGACGCAGTTAATATACTTAATGTTCTCCTGAGAGGTAGACCGAAGAATATCCTTCTACTTGACAGTACCCTGACGAGTGTTGTTGTTTGTATTAGTTCTTGTCAGTTTTTTTTTAATATACATGAGTTTTATTTGTCAAAAAACAAAAAGGAATTACAAGCAAAAGAAAAAAAGAATTGTAAAAGAATTAAACGGCGCAGAAAATTTCATTACATACTCAGTTGGTGCTTAAGCAACATATAGGGCGTGTTCGATTGACCGTATTTTGACTAATGTTTGAGTTCACTGTTTTAAAATAGCCAGAAATCTGCTTCAAATTAAATATCCCAATGTATATAGCATTGAAGCGGCCCAACAATAACGGCACAACAGATTTGCAACATAAAATTTGTGTATTCTTATTCCGGCATACGATCAATCACGAACGCACCCATAATAACGTACAGTCGTCTCTCTTAACGGGCACCCCTATGAGACGGACACCTCTGTAAATTAAAACGGACACCTATAGTTGGTCCCTGCCTTTCTTTATTCCCTTTATTTCGGTGACTCTCTAAACGGTGGACATTTCTTTCTTTCTCTCAGATGGGAGAGTTGACTGTATTTTTTTCTACTGTCGGTGATCTAAATGTTGGAATTGTAAATGAAACCTCAAGTATTTACTTGTAGCAGAGAGGTAGATTTCAGTATAACAGAAATAGGTTCGGAGAGAGAAAAGGTAAATGAAACGCCCTGTAAAAGGGAAATAGAGGGTTTTTATTTTGTTTTTACTGAGGACTTGTTGGTGTTTAAGTCAGGGGCACCTAACGACTGTTTTCTGTAAAATATCTGTTCGGACAAGCAAACATTGCCTAGAATTTTACTTGAGGACAGATAAAAATTTCAAGATGGCCGTTCCGTTCATGAACAACTTTCGAAGCTTATGTAATAAATTCCCTAGGATTTTCTGAAGTTTAATTTTTCACATTTCACACCCCGGGTTAGCAAAAAAGGAGAGCAAAAATTTTCGGGATTCAAAAATGCGATGCAGAGAGGAATCAGAAAAATTCTCACTTTCGTAAAACTTTAAATTGCATCTAAAATTTTCGGGAAAATAATACTGAAGCCCTTGTAATTTCGAGAAGACTCAAGTTCCCCTAGGATTATCGAACAGATACAAAATTTATAGCGCCACTCAGAATACATTTCTAGAGATCTAAAAGTACTCTGAATAGGCTAAAAAGTGTTTTCAGTGTATTTAGGAAAACCGTTGTTGGGTGCCCCTGTTAAGTTAGTGCAGAAGGAACCAGTGAAATCTCCACGTACCTTTTTAGCAACCGTAGCCGCATGTCCGTGCGCAATTATATCTCATTGAGCTGTGGTGGCAAAATCGACGCTTTTGCTGGCAGTATCGATAGCCCCACCGATCAACACACCTGCCTAAGATAGACGATATACCGTCAAAACTTTTGGCAAAATCGAACCGAACCTCCCATTAAACTAAGAAGCTGTGCTACGAATTTTGTCAAAAGTTTAAACAGTGGAAACTGCCACCAAATTCAGTGAAGCATAGAAATAACCACTCAAAACGTTAAAAGACGGTTTGAATAACACAGCAAATACTAAGGAAAGCACAGGTGGACAAATTTCTTTTTAATATATCAAATTCTTTGTTATCGATTGTCGATCTTTAGCAAATTTCTGAGCGAAGACAATTGCTTTAAAGAAAATTGAAACGGATTGCAATTGAGCTTTTTGAAATCTTATTAGCCTAAAATCTTGCTAGGCTAGAGGAAAGGTAAGGTGCTGCATGTTACACGGAACGATTCGCAACGACGATTTTTAGCGCAACACAGTGTCACAATGTTGGAACAATGTTGTAACTATTCGAATCAATGTGGCAACAATGTTGTAACGCCGTGTTGCGCTAAAAATTATCGTTGCGAATCGTCTCGTGTAACATTGCGTTCTTCAGCCGTCTTCAGGTTTTCTTAAAATACCGACTCTCCCCGTTTAAGGGTGGACAAACAGGTTGAGTTACATTAATAGCTAAATTAAATTTACCAAATGTATTTGCTGTATCTGGTGCGGGCGGTTCTTCTTCAAGGAGAAGAGAGAGCAGGTCAATGTCGCCCAAATCATCTGTTGCGGATCAAAGGGAACAGCAGTGAAAGTAGATGAGAATGTCATGATCAGAGGATGATGCAGCTTTGTAAAACGTTTTATGAAATTTACAGGTGTTATAACGTAAAATGGAGGTCAAATTACTCACTTCAGATCTCTCTTAGGAGACGGTGCTTCTTTCCCCCGAGCATTAGAATTTCCTTGAATGAGTCTTGCATAATGTCACGTTATTACATGCATGGCTACAATAGTACGCGCCCTCTGATTGGGTGCTAAGAAGGCATTATTTACTCGTGTGATGACCAGGCATTATACATTAGCTACAATAGGTGTCCAAGGCATAATTATACAATCTGTGTTTAACGCAACTTGGTATTTCTTCTAAGAATTCACTGGAAATCGATCGTTTGATGGTGTGGAACAACAGAAAAGGGACTTGGGGGTTATCCTACTCTTTTTTTTTTGCTTAACTCCCTGACCCACATTATAGCGCACTGGGTTCCAAATACAGAAATTGCGAGCAAAATACGCCCATTCTGAGTTAAACAACTTTAACTATAAGAGCCGAGGAAATAAACTTATACACGTCTGTCAGGAAAAGCGATTGAAGAGTCCTTTTGTATTTTCAAACAAATACTGGGTCACCAACACCAAACTTAAACTAAATAAACGTAGGGACGTTTAACTGGCAAAATGCGTTACTTATTTTGCCTTTGTGAATGTGCAATCGGGTCCTTTGACTACATTTGTTAGACATACCGTTTTCCATTTCTGCGTAGGCAAGCGCTGCGAGTGAGAAAGCGATAAAAACGCCGATCAGTAGCTTCATCTTTTCAGTTGAAGTGCCCCTGATCAATCAGAAAGAGTATACTCTGAAGCAAACATCCTTGAAGCCTTAAATAACCGTAAGTTCAATTTGTAAAAGTAAAAACCTGTTTCAATACATCTGAAATGTGTTTCTATTCAATTTTAAAGGATCAATTAAAAAATGTTAACAGGTCGAAATCCTATTTCTTCCTTCCTTTTTTATTTATTGAGAACCAATAAATTAAAGTAAACATTTTTAACTTAGCAAGGCTTTGATAAATCCAGGACAAAGCTCGGTAAGTTCTTTTGCTGTTGTTTTATCCTCAAAGGAGCATAAATACCGCACTAAGTTACTATTTCAAACGCCGGCGTAACGCGGCTTTAACTCATATTACTTGAAAAAGATTGTTTACTTAGCTAATAAGTTCGATATCAATTCGTTAAATTGCTAGATCTCGTTTTTAGCATGGGTTTTAAGAACCTCATTAATGTTTTAAGTCATGTCTTGGTCTTATATTTCAAGTTTCCTTTTTCTGGTTTCGTTTCGCTTACAATTTGAAAAGAGTACCCTTTCTCCTCACTGCATTTAGTATTTTTAGTTGCTGAATAATTCAAGTGAAAATTCCTTGACAACATGTGTCTTTCTCTGCCAAATTCAGTGTACTGATTTCGAAATAATGCCCAAAGTTGGCCGTGTGCTATTCTAGAACGCGCGGACAGTCAGATGGGAAAATTTTTGACTCCTGTAGTTCGAATTTGAAAAGAAAACTATCAATACATACATCTTCGTTTAAGAAACATTTACTTGATACACATGTTAGGACTGAAATTTTACAGTTTCAGCCGAAAATGGCCGCAGTCACCATTGTTTCATACATTGCGGTTCATATAAAGAATTTAAAGGTACCCGACGATTTTGAAAATGTTTCGAAGCTGCCCAGTGCGGGACGAATTCATATGTCAAACATATTCGAGGATCTCCGAAGCTAGTTCCAAGACTTTCATTAAGATTTCCGAAGTTACCTTGACTAACTCTCCGGCTTACGTAGATTTTTGATCGGAAGTTGACGCGAAGAAAGGTTGTGTGATTTATCAGCACTTTGATGAGTAGATAATTGTTCCGCCAGGCAAATAAAATTGGTCTTCAAAGGCGTTTCTTTAGTTATTTCTTCATTCCGCAGAGAATAAGACGGTAAGTCTTCTTCACAGCAATTCTAAATTCTCTGAACCGTAAACAGTACATCAAAGGATTCAAACACGAGTTGGACATCATTAACGTTGCACACAACTCGAACGTTAAGATTCCAGCTTTCTTGGGCGAATCGGACAAAACGTTTATTGCAGTTGACAAAGAAAAGGGAAGATAACAGAGCAGAAATACAAAGAAGACGTACAATGTGCTAATAGCCGACTTCCTTAATCGTTTTAAGCGACAATTTTCAAATTGTGCCATACTGGACTCCATAGATTCCATCTGAATATGTATCTGACGCCGGTGAATTTTAACAACTTGGTAAATTTTAACATAAACAGCAAATGCAACTATGATAGAGAGCAACACAACAACAGCTGCAAATGCCGAGTAAACACGGAAGCCTCTTAGCCAAACCAAACTAAGGAGCCCGTTTAGCACCCACACACCTATCTGCGCGAAGATCAATCGCTTTTCTGTGATGATTTCTCGATATCGCAGATGCAGCTTGATCGCCAGATATTTGTCAATTCCGATCATTGTGACATACAGAAGCGAAACGCCACCCAAATACGCCGTGGTTACGCTATACGCAGCCATGACCTTGCAGTGTGGAAGAGAGTTGTTGTAGACGTTCAGTAGTACAAAAATGTACAATGGATGAACCACAAGTCCTACACCGAGGTCTGTCAAAACCAATCCTAGAAGAAGATTGTTTGATGCCGAAGGTAGAGAGGGTACAAGCACGAAGCTGAGGAGAATCGACAAATTTCCTAGAATTGAAGTTGGCATAAGAATCATATTCGCCGCGATATTCAAGGCCAAAATAATGTGCTTTCCATCTTGTAGAAAAACAATAGGAGGTTCAATAGAACATTTTTCACGAGTTGTATTTGATAGCACATTCATTTCAGTTCGAGATCTAACCAAGCCTGAGAGACAAGAGTTGACCTACCGCGAAACCGTAAGAAATAATCTGTTGTTTAGTATCACCTGTCCTTAAAACTTCCTACGCTTGTTTACCCCGTGATACTGTATCTAGATTTTCACGATCGTCGACTCTTGATCAAATGAACTAAAGGTAAAATATTTTCCCAACGTTCTCCTTTGATTAGGTTAGCCAGGAGAATTAACACTAGACGTCAAAGATGGCAAATTAATGCTGGAAACGTGAACATGAGAATCAGTTTGACCATTAACGGATGGGTTTGGTATGGAAAAAAATGTATACCTGTTTCAAGCAGCTGCATTTATCTCGGATTCACGATTCGATCTGAAGGCCAAGTGTATTTCTTGTGACAGAAATAATAGCATGCAATATCCGGTACATTATGATAACTGAAAATACTAGTTTCCTTGCTGTCATTAAATTGAAACAAATTGTGTTCAAACTATTTAAGATAATTTGCTCGCATTTGTTAATACAAAATTTAAAAGATATTAATACAATAGACTCTGGGAGGATTCGGTACAAGCCCGTTTAAAATTATCTCTCTGTGGGGATGACAATTCCAAAAGCGAAAATACAAACACTTATTTGGACGGAAAATGACCTCTTTCCAACCTCCGTTTCATTTTTGCCGGGTAATTAATGCCACAGCAATTACAGCAAGTTTAAGATCTCAGATGTTCGTAGCGTAGAATTAAAAAAAAAGTCATCAGAGTTTGTTTATTTGATACAACATACATTTACATTTACCAATTATTGAATACTCACTTAGTTTCTAATCTTTCCAATTCATCATGAAGAAACGTAAGTGAGATCATATAAAAAAAATGGAGCAACTTCAGAAGTAGTTGGCCACTTGTCAGAAAGCTTTAAAGAATGACGCAAAAAAAGGAAAAAACCCTGCAATTTTGACTGCATACGGTAGACGAAGCAAACTAAACAACGAACGTAATATTTTTGTCAACCCAAAACTGTACCGCGAAGACCACGAAGTTCTTCACCGAAAGAAGCGTACCAAGAGAGCAATTTCATGGAAAAAAAATCGAGAACATTTTTATTCATTCTTTAAATTAATACTTTTCTTAAGCTTTGGGTTATGTAATTTCGCAACTGCAATTTTATTGGCAGTAGGATAATTCTAAGATAATCATAGGATAAATACGGATATAATAAAAACCGCTAGACTTATAGCCTGTGTGGCAGGCGCTCGAAAGGGAAGGGGAACGGAATTAGGGCGCGAGACCACGCGCGAGGGAGGAGGGAGGAGGGAGGAGGGGAACTCCTTTCCTTTCTCCCTCGCGCGCCCAAATTCCCCTTTCCCCTTCCCCTTTTAACGCCTGCCACGCAGGCTACTAGACTTATCCTAGCCTCTTAGTACTTGCTAAAGAGAAATTAAAGAAAGCCTTCATAATTATGACTCGGCTTACTGTACAAATTATAATATAATTTCATTTGTTGCTTTAAATAAAACTTAGATATCTATTCTAGACCTAGAACATAAATTATTATCTGTACTACAACGATAATGATGGGCTGCCACACAACGAGGTATCGGATCCAGTCCAAAAGCTGCCCAAAAAGGACGTGTGGACGCTCCCACCTGGGGACTGGTCAAGGAAAGTTGAAAGACATACCCAGAATAATTGCTTTTTAGAAAAAGAAGTAGTGTTGCTTTCCAGACAACTTAAAAGAGACCTTAAGATTCTAAGACGAGAAGGACTTTTCTCCACACTAAGGAAGTGTTTGAGCGTGAACCAATGTCTTCTTGACTTGGCGGAAAAACATTAGAGTCGTTGCGCCATTCTACCATGAGTTAAAACAGTTGACCCTCAGTTGTTCGTCGGACCCGCCTAGATTAGCATTTACTACCTGCGGGTCAGGGTAATTACTTACGTAAATTCTTAAAAGTTTTTAAAAGTTTTTGCATGTTTGTTTTGCTTGAGTTTGCAGAGGTGAACTTAAACTTGACGCATGTTTGTTTTGCTTGAGTTTGCTGAGATGAACTTAAACTTGACGCGAGAGGGTCAGGTTGGATAGCTAAGTAAAGTGAGCGGCTTGATTAATATTTTTCCAACATAGACAAGCAATTTATCACCCTGCTGGCAGATCCTTTCTGCCCGATTTTGGTGTGCTCGCAAGGTGGAAATTTATAAAAGGATACGGATTGTGGAACATCCTCTTGAGGTCTACCTTTTCTTTACAGTAAGGACAAGTTTGCTTCTTCCCTACGATGCACCAACCACGTATACAGAACTCGTGGAATCTGGGTTTATTGTTTGTGAAGGATAAACACTGATTCACAGAAACAAATTCACAAATTCAACATAACTAAAAATGACGTCTCTAGAGAGACAAGTTAGAGACAAATCATGACGGAAAAAGTATGTAATATGTATTCATCACGCAAACCACGGCCCACGTAAGGAGAAACGCCACCACTGGTTTCCCGCCAAAAGATTTCTGAGAAACGAGTGCAGAAATTCCATACCGATGACGCGTCACTACCGAGATCTGGGTAGTGCTTCTGATTGGTGGTGACGCGTGGAAAATTTGCTTCAGCCAATCAGAAGCACTACCCAGATCTGGCTAGTGATGCGTCATCAGTATCGTTTCTTTAGACGTCTTTGTACTCTAGCTCCAGATAGCCTAAAAAGTGTTATTAATGCATTTAGTAGGAGACCGTAGTTGGATGCCCCTGATTAAATGGGAAGAAGGACTTTTTCGAAAGTCTAATCCATCACACATCCATCGCACATTATTTTTTAAAGGCAAGGATACAAATGACCACAAGAGAGTTTGTAATTTTTCTCAGGCCCATCATCATCATCATCTTGCTGCAACACAAGTTCTTGGCCACAAACAGCACAGATGTTGATCTCAAGGCTTCTACTTGGAAGCCCATCTTTACTAGAATACTAAAAAAATAAAGACGAAATTGTATGACTCTGCTAAGTTGTGAATCTTCCTCAGGGAAATACACTGCTCTCGGACAATTTGCATGACCCAGTTAATACTCAGTTGACACCTAAAATACATAGCTGTAACTCCAAATGTATTTATGAAACCAGTTAATTCTAATTAATATGCGGATAGTACCTCAGGTTTTATTTGCCCCTCGTGCAGGGGCTAGCTAGGGGGGTCCTGGGGTGACCGTAGGGGGCAAACCCCCACTGGTAGGCCTTCTTTTGAGCAAACAACCCACAATATTCAGGTGGCGAAAACACCATGACAATATCTTGGCCGTAAAAACCATTGTTGAAAAGCCCACTTTTTTAAAATTTGTTTTTTTGTAAAGCAGTTTCGTCAGCGGTTCTTGTCTTTAGTTAATATGGGCCTTCATCCTGCGATAATACGACTGAGCCCGCTGATACACAAGGGAGAGCAGCGATATAAACAATGAATATATAGTCGGCGATCCGAGTGGAGGTCGACATGGCATTCTGGTGAGTAGCTTCTGTGACCCCCCCTTTGAAAAATCCTGGCTACGCCCGTGTAGTGCAGTTGCAGAGAGTAAAAAAAGGCAAGTACTTACACCTAGTTTTGAGGCAATGTTATCTGCACATATCTCAGCAAAATCTCTACCAAGCACTCCAAAATAAAGTCCATAAAACAGCACGGTCACTCCAAACTCCATGGCAGTATCAGGCTTAATTGCAAACATTAGATTGATGCCAAGCATTGTGAGACAAACAACCATGTAGCCTACTATTCCCAAGGCATAAGTAGCTTTGTGTATCAACAAAAACCATTTGTAAACCAGTCTGCAAAGAAGAAAAACAGATGGATCAAACTGTTAATGAGTGATCATCAGGGGCACCCAACGTCAATTTTTGGAAAATATCTCATTGTTCAGAAGACGATTTGAGACCTAGAATTTTCAGAATATTTGTTGTAAAATTTCTTGCTTTCCTGCCTCTCCTAGGATTTTCAAACATCTAAAAAATGGTATAATTGCCCATTTTTAACGGATTTTTTCCCTAAAAAGGTCACCTAGAATTTTTGAGAGCCTTTTTCCCGGCTGAAATTTTTGAAAAGGTAAGTTTTGATCCCTACAATTTTCGGATCACTAGACTTTCAGCTAGGAAAACCGAACAGATGAAAAAGTTTTAGGGGATAAAAATATGCCTATATCTACCATTTAAATACTAAAATACGTTTAACAATGCCTATATTCTATTTGGTCATCAGCCAAGGTCGTGAAGTAGTGGTATGAGAAAGAGTGCAGCTCATGCGTCAAATCAGTTGTGTAGTTCTTGCGTTGAAGCAAGACAGACTTTTACCGTTGTGGAGTTGTACAACTCCTACACTCCCAGCTGATGACTCACAGAATCTTAATCAACCTTTGACTTACATGCAAGTCTTGTTTAAATTATTATTTGCCTTTCCTTTCTCTTTTTTTTCCCTGACTACACATTATCTTTAGTTAGAAACCTGACCAGGCTAAAGGATTAATAGTTGCATTACAGTAGTTACTGTACCTCGGTGTTGTGGGTGTTAATGGCTTTCTTGTGGACTTGAAAACGATAAATCCTGTCAAAACTGAGAACAGCACCCAAGCAGACAGCATGCGCCAAAACTTAAGCTTAATGTTGAAATACAGAGGAATCCACCACATACCAACTAGAGTGACAGCCTAAGTTGTGAAAAAAATAAAAAGGAAATTAGTGAATAAATTTTTTCAATCAGTTAACATGCAGCAGCACAACATAGCTTGGAGGGGGTAGGGGAGGGAAGGCTTCATTTTTCCCTTTAGAAGGGCAAAACGTCAGAAAGGCACTTAAAGGCAAAGTGTCTCAACTAATTGTGTCGTCAATTGGAGGTACATCTAAATGAAGATATGATCGTTGCAGTGCATGGTAATTGCAATTTAAGCAATTGCAAATTAACACGGAAAAAAAAATTGGGACTTCAACGGGATCAGAACCCATTGTATTTCTACAGTGCCGTACAATTTGCGCTGTAGTAACAACTCAACCAAGACATAAACGTAGCTTTTATGTTGCACTTCCTTATAAAATTGCCCTTATCAATATCAACAGAATTTTAGCGCCTCTTAATAATAATATTTCAGGGGCACTTATTTTGTTACTGTCAATCATATTGAAGATCAGAATGTTCACACAAGTGAGCTAATGCTTGCCATTTAGTTATAAAAATAATCATCTCATGCCTCATTGGTCTTCTCCTTCTGATTAACCCTTTATATCCACACACAAATTCTCCAAACTGATCTCTATACATTTTCTTCATGATGGGTTGAGAGAATTTGATAAAAGATCAAGGCATTTTCACTTAGGTGATCAATTTATTAATTCTCATAACCTAATCTCTGGACAATCAATGGATATGGTTAGGAGAAAATTGATGTTGGTCACCATTGGGACTTAAAGGGTTAATAAAGACATCATCATCAGCCAACAGAAAAGCAGTCAACCACAAGTTTCCTCCAACCATTGCATTTTTCAGAAAGTAAAACAATAACCTCTTTTAACATTGTGATCTCTTTACCTGGAATGACTTGTAGTAATGCTTTTTCCACTTTACCAAAAGAATCTGGGCTACCACCAGTGTAGAAAATAGAATAAGAACCATCTCCATGTGCATGGCTTCATGACCTTTGTGTTTAGCATGTAACTTTTCATGTTCTATCCTATCATTCATCAAATGAATAAAATCAAAATAGGTTAATGTAGTATCAGCTTCTCAGGGTTAAACAAAGCATCCCTGCAAAATTTAATGCCCTTTATCTAATGTGGAATACAAATTTGAATTCAAATAATAATTAATAAAAATACCGCGCAAAGAAAGTCAGTTTTACAGCCTGCCATTCAGGCATGCAAGCTGACTAGCTAGCATGTATTAGTGCACAAGTCATTTCAACTAGCCCCAAAACCCTTTTTGATTAGTAGGATTGATTACAATCCTTCTGTAATTTGAGTTTCCCCAAAAAAAAAGCGCTTGCCCATTGGGCAAGTTAAGAACAAAAATCACTACCCAAAATCCAAATCCACTAACACATTGATTATTATTATCAATACTGGTTTTGCTGTGCTAATATTCAATACAGTATTTTGCACTTGCACTTGCACTTGCACTTTTTGCACTTTTTATTTGAGTGTCAATGTATTTAGCACAAAAGTGCTAATTGGGGACACTATTTTTATGTCTCCTAATGGAGACGGGACCGCCATTTTACGTGGTCATCCGAGCCACGCGAAGGTCTCGCCGCTTGCAGTGCAAAGGAAGTACCTTCATTTCTCAGTCATTTTAAGACCCTGAGTAATGGTCCGGCCCCGGGAATCGAACCCGCGACCTCCCGCTCTGCAGTCAAATGCTCTACCAACTGAGCTAATCCTGCCAACTGCGCCCAGCCCACAAACAATTAACCTTTAAATTATTAAATACAAAAAATAGACATGTTTACCTCCACAATTCTTCCTTGCTGAGAGTTTTAGCAATTGGAAGAGAACCATTACTATTGCTCTGTGATACACAAAGAGAAATCCTACATAAACAACCATTCATGCACCACAAAATTTAATAATATTTCAGCACAGACAGTTTCCTTATGATTTACATGCTTAAGGGCAAAGATATAGGCTAAATCTTGCCTGATTGCAGTTTCCTAGGTATGTGCAAACATTCCTTCCGAAACATTAATGCATCAGTCAAATCCAACTGCGCCCAGCCCACCCTGGGGATGCAAAATTTGCTAATGCTACCACCCCCGGGACTGACAAGGTAGGCAAATGCCCCGCAGTTGCCCGGGGGGGAGGGGGGCTGAGCACAATTGGATTTGACTGATGCATAATGATCAGGGAAGGAATGCATGGAAAGGAGTCTGTATCCCATCCATTCCATTCCTGACTGAGACCTTATTATATACTACATCTCCCTCATCTCTTTGACGAGGATAAATCAAAGTTATATTAATTTGATCGGAACAGAGACAAAGGTAGACAAAGGTATTTTTAGAAAACTTAGTTTTTTTCTCATATACCGATCTCATATCGACAAAGCAAAACCAACATCTAGCCCAAAAATGTTCCCTACAATAACAAAGCGTAGATTCGCGATAACACTAGCTGAAAGCCTCTTACCATCACTTCCTTCACGAGATCGCCGGTTTCACTGTCCGCCGCCATTTTGAATTTAGACGTGGCCGTAGGCAGGCGAAAACTGGGTCGAGAGTGAAGATAAAAAAAATGGAATCCACGCAAAAATGTTGTGAAATCTCAACCAGACTGAACGTTGGTAGGAAAATAAGCGCATAAAGTTGGAAGATTATTTATAAAAAATTCCTATCAACCAACAAGTTTCAAAACATTTAGTGGGAAACATTTACATTTTCAAGGCTTGGTTACAAATCAATTTAACGTGACTCCCAAAGAACTCTGGGTAGCATGTTCAGCAGTCAAGTCGCCATTTTTGCTGGTTCCACGAGGCCTGTGAGCAAAACTAACCTTTCGGTGGTAGAGGCTCGTCCCTGAGTAGTTCACCACCATGCCGACTACTCTACCACCCAAAGAGAACGCTTTGTTTAAGCGAATCTTGGTAAGACACATGTAAAGCCACCGGTTTGTTAATGTACCGAAAACCGGGACTCGTGACTTAGGTGTCTCGCTCCTCAAGCGCGCCTTGGGTTGTCGATTTCAGGTTCCGTTTTAAACTCCTTTACGATCATGTTTTAATTTGCAGAAATGCTACGAGCACAAGCAGTACAAGAATGGGCTCAAGTTTGCTAAGCAGATCCTGTCAAATCCAAAGTTCTCTGAACACGGAGGTGAGAATAAAGTGTTTACATGTGACGCGTTCCGTGCGATCGAGCGGTAGATACCGCCGGAACACCGGAAACTGAACAATGTACCATTTAAGCTCAAGTTTGATACACCAAAACCGGCCAGCCCTGTTACCCTATAGAGGGTCATTTTTTAAACTCCCAGCACTTCTTTGACTCTCTTTTCATTTAGAAACCTTGGCCATGAAAGGGCTCACTCTAAACTGCCTTGGACGAAAGGAGGAAGCTTATGAGTTTGTGAGGAGGGGTTTACGAAATGACCTCAAGAGTCATGTGTGTATCCTTTGTACATTATTATCATACGAGTGTAATTGACCCCACAATATCATATTGTGCATAGCACAAAGTAACATTTTTTTCTTTCTGTTTGTTTCTATTGTTAAACTGTAATGTGTGACATTCTTTGTAATTATCGCCGACTGTGTTGTTTCCCTCAGTAGGTTATTCAAGGTCTTCCACTGGGGCACCAGTGATGTACTGTGTGCATTTTTTGAAATGTGTTTTAAAATATAGCCACTGTATACATAGTAACCTTAACTATGACATATTTGGTCAATATAATTAAGTCACTTGCATTGCATTTTAACCCTTTTCAAGAGAATAGAAACTGTAACTACTTTCGCTTTCATTACTTTTGGGGTGACCCAACAAAACTTGTCATTTTGTGCATGGACAAAATGACAATTTAAATGTGCACGTAAATCACTCACGTTTGTAGAAAGTCAAAGAATAAAAATGTTTAAAAAAATGCTTAAAAAATAGTCAAGACAGAATGAATCATTTCTTTAACTGATTTTTGGATTTCAGCCAATCAAATGCAAGTGAGAATAAAACAGTAAAAAACTCGAAAAATTCACGATTTGTTTTTGTTCTAAATGAGTCGTATATTTAAGTCTAGTGGCAAACATCTGTACTCTGCCATAATAATATCCATGGTAACTTGATGTGTGTGAATGCTCTGAAAAGTCACTCTTCTTTGGAAATTTTTTCAGGACTGGGCTTGTCCCACGTGTCACTTCAGAAGCAAACTTATGTCTTCATAATTTTATTTAAAGATGTACAGTTTATATGCCTAAGTGCAACTTGTGGCAACACTACCAATATACCTGCATGCCACAGAAAGTGGCATGTTTTTCCATCCAATAACGGATTTGTTATTGGGCCTGTAAACATGATAGCCATTTGTTGGTGAAAAATGTAACTAGAAGCAGGAATGTTAAAAATTGTGGAAGCCAGAAACATTATCGGATAAATTCTAGGATTTTTAGCCAGTTAGGTGATCTTTCTCTCTCTCTCTCTCTTTTCTTGCTTTATTCAAATTTGATCATTGTTTTTTCTTTGATCCAAAATCCCATGTGTAAAAACAACTTGGCTGCCTGGTGTATTAAAGTTTGAAAGGAATTTAGATGCCAAGTTATCATGATTGTTTAATTTGCTTAAAACTCATTGGCATCTGAGATGCCCTTTCACTTTACACAAAATAACGTAGTACACACCTTGCTAGAGGTGAAGTATGGTTGCACGTTAAATCATATCCAAACAACTACACAGAAAAAGAACAACAAAAAATGAAAACTTTAAGTCAAGTTTGTTCTCTTTTGGTTTCTTGTCTCAAAATTTCACTTTCCCTGCTTGCAGGAAAACAAAAATAATTGATGACTGAAAGTCTTGTGAAAACAAGACAACATTTTTTTTGTTTTCAGGAAATGTTTGGAATACAGTAGTTCCTGCCTTTTTTACTCTGTATTTTGTTTTCATTTTGTTTTGCATACTGTGGTTGGTGACCAGAAATTTATGTTGATCCTTCTAATGTCACCCTTTGATGAAGAGTCTTGGAATTCTTGGGTTAGATGACTTTGTAGCTTTCCAACTTAGCCTGATATCAAGATAGTGAAAGCAACTAGGTGTAGTACTATTTTTTTTATAGATCTGAGCAGGTTCAAGAAGTAAGAAGTCTTTTTTTTTTTTTGTTACCATGAAATTTACAGTAATTTATTGTTATTCATGTGCCAACATTTTTGAGTCAGAGTTTTAAAATATTAATCCAGGGAGTGCCTGGAATTTGGCAGAGAACCGAATCATAATATCTGAAGGTTCTGTGGATTTCTGAAGTTGTCATTTTTAACTGTTCCAAACCTTTCCTTTAACTAAACACAACCTTGTCTCAAGTGCATGTTGTCCCTTCTAAAATTAAAAATGGGAAAGTTCAATCATTCACATGGACTTTTCTTTTCTCTCATTGACTCACAATTACTCTACTTTGTACATTCTTTGGAAATGTATTAGTTGAGGCTGTAGTAGCTTAGATTTAGCTAAGTGTGTGGGAGTTTCGTCTGCAAGTGTGAATTGGCATGAGATCCTAGTTTTTTATCCTTAAGTGGGAGAGTTGGAAGCTATACAATATTTCACTATACACTCCTTTTGGGTATATACATGTTTATTGTTTTGTACATGTATGGTTACCGTAATGGTTTGAATCAGAGGAAAAATATAATTTCAGCCAAGGGTAAAATCTAGAACCATGGCATAAATTATACTGTATCAGTTTGTTCAGATACACTGTATTTGTTGAAACCCAAAAGCCTATGTGCTATACTCAAATAAAACAGCTTAGGCTACAACTGTACAATAATATTAATAATATTATTTATTAAATGCATTTTATTGATTGTAACCTGTACTTGTGGTAATAGCATCTGAGTGTATGTCACCTTAACTGCCAGACAGGCTGGCATGTCTATGGACTACTGCAGAGATCAGACAAGAAGTATGATGAGGCTATCAAGTGTTACAGAAATGCCCTTAAGTGGGATAAAGTGAGTGCTAACTCTTCATGTTCTAGTTTTGAATACATTTCTACACTAAATTGTCTTTTTGGTAAGACTAAGTCTACTGTACCATTGTCCTGCAGGAAAATATTCAAATTTTGAGAGATCTATCGCTGCTCCAAATTCAGATGCGTGATCTGGAAGGCTATAGGGTAGGTTTAACAGAAGGCTTTGTGACAGCCTTTTGCTCTGTTATTCAATTTTTTTGCTGGTCACATAACAAATGTTTAATCTTGTAGGTTTGACGATTTGAGACATTCTGAATAGGTCAATAAAATAATGTCTTATTTATGGGCAAATACAGTGTGCATTTTACCTGTAGGTTTCCAAACAGTCCTTTGAAATTCCGTAGTTTGTGTCTGAATCTGTGAGTTACAGTTCCAACAGAATAATTTCAGATAAATGTTATATGGTGTAGGTTGTCTCAACTATCGTACAATTTGTTTTTACAGCTTCAAAATGGTCACTTTTCAGGATCTTTATACTTTTAATGCCTTGATTATTCTTGTTTTTCTTTTAGGAAACAAGATACCAATTACTCAAACTCAGGCCAGGTCAAAGAGCGTCCTGGATAGGTTATGCCATCTCATATCATCTTCTTAAAGATCATAACATGGCATTCACTATTTTGGAAGAGTTCAGGAAAACTCAGAATGTTAGTTTACTATTCTTTGTGTTTCTTTTTTATGTGTTGGTGTCATGTCGTGCTGAATAATAATATTGTGGATTGGGATGTGGAGCTTGGTGGCTTTGTGACCAGTATGCTTGACTCCAGATAAAGAGGTCTGGGTTCAAGCTCTGGCTGGGGTCACTGTGTCGTATTCTAGGGCAATAGAGAAGAGGAGTGATGATGTCATGAAAACTCAGTTTGTGAAATTATGGGATTGGTTAGCACATCCACAATTAAGAACAAGATGAAAAACATTCACTTGCTAAAAATCAGCCCTTTAGTGCAAATTGGTGTTGGGATACTTGTATAAGCAACATTAATATGCTTTGATGACTCCCTACAAATCCTTCTAAGAATCCTTTTAGAAGGATTTGTATGGAGTCATCAGAGAAAACTAGAGCTTACATCTCCTGGGACACTAATTTGCACCAACAGGCCGATTTTTGGCAAGGGGCTTTTTTCATTCTTGTCGTGATTCTGAACATGCTAGCCAATCTCGTCACGTTTCTCTTCTCTGTGCACTTAAGTTTTGCAGTGCTTTACTCTGCTCAGGTGGATGAATGAGTACAAGCAAATTTGATGCTGGGGAGAGAGGTAACCCTGCAGTGGACTAGCATTCTGTCCAGGGGCGGGGGGAAGGACAAATCCTAGTCGCCTCATGCTTGGGAAACTGGAAGATAAGCTCTAGCGTAATGGGCCATTGGGTGCTGACTTAAACGTCGCCTTACCTTAAATTGTTGGTGCATGTATACCCAAACATTTCGGTGCAACTGATTGTCCACTTTCAACACCTGAATTTCTGAGACTGTTTATCCACGGTTAGAACTGCTGTACCAGGGTTTCTTATTGGAATTGTGGGATTTGGTAATCTGGATGGTGTGGCACAGTCCCCATAAAAGTGAACAATGATGCTTTTAACTTGAAGCTTTGATTCCTGTTTGAGCATGCAGTTTATTGTCATTGTGCACTTCCAACAGATTTCTCCTTCAAAGCTTGATGTTGAACATAGTGAGCTGCTGCTTTATCAAAACATGGTGCTCAGAGAGGCTGGGAGACCTGAAAAAGCATTAGAACACTTGTCTGAATACGAAGCGCAGATGCATGATAAACTGGTGGTGCGGGAAATCAAAGGTACATTGCTCTTTACTATATGACACTTGTGGTTGTTGGTATAAATTAATATTTTCTGTTGTCAGTTCTTGTAGTCAAACTATTTAAACGATTTTCCATATTAAAACATCACACTAAGGTACATACTTAAAATGTTGAAATCAAATTGAATTCAAGATACGTTTTGGGGGAATGGTTTCTTTGAAGAGAATGAAAATTAATTTTATTGTAGCCTGCAAGTACAGCCATCTCTCCCCACCCCTTACGGCTGGGGATGTTTCCGGGAAACCTCCCACACAGCAGCGAGGGCAAAGAGAGACTGCAGCTGTATTCACAGAAATCTTATCCTGATTGGTGCCACATTACTGCTGTAACTGTTTGACCAAGCACAGGATCAGTGTTATTTCAAATACTAGATGGCTGCGACAACTTATAACAATAATTATTGAACAATATTCCATGGATACTTAACAAGATTGTGCAAGACAAAAAAGCCGAAAATAGTGTAAAATTTCTGTCTGCTAAGAAGAAAATGCATTTAACTACTTTATTTTATATTGTTGTTCTACACAACGTATATGAACATCAAACAAAAGTAGCCTTTGACTTGATGGCTGACAGCTGCCAGAGCTCCTGTGGTAGCCAGCTTCTAATTTAAGCACTGCTCTTCTACGTGCATTCCAGGATCATTACATCTTGAACTGAACCGCTTCAAAGACGCAGAGAAAGTTTATAGAGATTTACTTAGAAGAAATCCCGAGAACAGGTTATACTATCAGGAACTTGAAAAGTCCCTGCAACTTGGTAAGTGATTAATGGAAGTCTCATTCTTACATGTATGCTGTACATGCTGCATTGTACATGTTTAGACTCATTTTTGATAATAATACTAATTTAATAAAATGCATGTGCACTGTGTTCTAAAGATTTGTGGTGAAGATTGAAATTTGTACAAGTTAAGATACATGTTGTAGTAATTTTTTATGCTAACTTTTTTCTTTTCATGTTGAATAATTCTTCTTAATCTTGAGTTTTACATAATTGTATTCAATGAAATGTTGATTTTCTCTGTTGTATTGTTCTGACTTGTTTTTAAATTATTGCCTTGCAGAGGATCCTGAAGATAGATATAACTTGTACATGCAGTATGCAGCCTCATATCCTAAAGCACAAGCCCCCAAGAGAATTCCACTCACTTTCACCTCTGGTAAATATTGGCTTCAGTGTCTCTTTTACATCAGTCTTATGCATGATTATTATCAGTAACTAACTTTGATCGTGTAAGTGATGCTGATCAAGCAGTGTGTTGACTGTGTGAACCAGCCTAAATTTCTTGCACAAGTGTATGTTTTATAAACCTTCAATGAACCCATTCTTGTGAGTTTCTCTTTTGAAAAAATATAAGGTACTCATGAGCCTCAAATTTAAACAAAGAAATTTCCCCTTGGTCAAGGTGATTTCACAGATTACAAAAGAATGTAACATGCCCTATACTTACTACTTTTTCTTATTTATTTTGTTGTTGTTTTTTTTTTGTAGATGAAACATTTGCAAGACTAGTGGACAACTACATGAGGCCAGCAATTCATAAAGGAGTGCCCCCACTTTTCAACAATATCAGGAATTTATATTCAGATAAAGAAAAGGTGATTCTTAGGTCTTGTACAGCATCAGGGTTCTGATCAAATTTTAAAGTAGACAGCTAGGATGTAAAAGTAGGCAGCTTGCCAACTGAGTTTTGTATGTAATTTCAGGCTTTCACTGTCTCACTTTACCCTATTTCCCAAAAAGTAGACAGCTCAAACCTCCATGTAGCCGGTTTTTTAGCCAGCTGCCGGCACTTAAAGAGAACCCTGACAGCATCATTAAATGAGTACTACTAGAAACCCCCACCGAGAATAATTCACCAGAATGGTTCTTTAGGATTTGTCTGCAAATTTAGAGTTACCTCTAGACCTGGGTAATATGAGGATAACTGAACTAAAGGGAAGCAGAAAGGCAATGCCATAATAGTTCTACAGGTTTCATTTTGAAAAGTCACTGTGCAAATTATTTTCATCCATGGACACTTAAGTTGGAGCCACTTTCCAGTGCTTAATTTATGTAACCCTTTAAACCCCATGATCAAAATTTGAATTCTCATGTTACCCCTGTTTACTTCCAACAGAGGTAGTGGGGAGAAGTTGATAAAATATCCTGTCTGTAATTCTCATGAGCACCATGTTTTACAAAGCATTGATATTACAAGGAGAAATTTGATGCTGGTCACTCTTAGGGTTTAACGGTTAAGTACATATCTTTCACAGCAGGACATACAATGATGTAATTCACTTTAAAAGGCTGTTGATAAGATTTCAGGTTACTGGTGATTTGAAATTAGTAGGCAGGGAATTGAACAAAAACTACTAGGAAGTCATTTTGGTTCTATTTTCCATGAATTTTGTTTCCTAAAAAAGCACCCAGGGATCAAGCTAAAGGTAGCTTGAGGAAAGCCCTGGCACCCAGCCCTTATTGGCAGCTCTGCTTTACATGTAAATTTGTATGGTTGTAAATTGAATTTCATAATCACACAAGTTTGCCTTTGCTTCTTATTCTTCTCAGGCGAAGGTGGTTGAAAATGTTGCTCTAGGTTACCTGGCCAGCTTGAACACTTTTCAAACTTTGACAGGCAAAGGTTAGTTCTGTATGCAGACTTGGCAAGTCTCATGACTTTGTTGTGAGTCTCATGATTTCATGACCTATCTCATGCTCTTCCAAGTTGGCAACTGATTTCTCACACTTCCTTGAAAAGTCAAAGTCCAAAAAAAAAAATTGGAGATGTAGGGTTTGTTTCCAAGTTAGATATCGATAGATAGCCAGTTCAATACAAAGAAAACCTTTAGCATTTGCGTTTTGTTAGCCTACCAGACTTACTGTTTCTCATGTTTCGAGATGGCCGCCAACAAAACAGAGGAATCACGAGACCTAAATTGTAAAATTGATCATGATGTTTACAGCCCCAGCTTTAAAGTGATTTGTGACTTCTAATACCCATAATCCCAGCTACTTGTCACATCAAGTACAAGGGCTACGTTGTATTCCTAATTCGGTAATATTTAATATGCATAATTACATCCTAGGTGGTGAACTTGAACCTCCAACGGCCATTTTGTGGGTGTATCACTTTCTTGCTCAACATTTTGATTATCTGCGGGACAGCAAGAGGGCTATGGAGTATATAAACAAGGCTCTGGAACACACTCCCACTCTTATCGAGGCTTACATGGTGAAAGCCAGGATTTACAAGGTATTGACATTTTTTCCAGCTTACAATGTACCTAAAAGACTGGTCGAGCCAGAACTGCAACTGCGAGCGACTCATAACCATGGCAACCCTGTGAGTGGCATCCGCGCGGGCAATGTCACACTGCTAATAACCAGTGGACAAGCCTGTAATACTAACCATAGACTTACCAATGGGAGGGCAAAACATGCTCAGAAGCACAAGCAACGAGAAGCAACATCGACATAATTGCCTGACCTCAGATGAAAAGTAGTGAGGCCGTAAGTGTACCCCCCCCCCAAAAAAAAAAAATCACACACAAGAGACTGGTGATCAGCATTGTCTCAAGTTTAACTTAGCGTTAATTTTATTTAGCCACATTGAATGAGGAGGCTTTATTTATCTATCATTATTATTATTATTATTTTGTTTAATTTTTTTTACAGCATGGTGGTGATATGGAGAGAGCAGCACAGTGTATGGATGAAGCTCGCTGTCTCGACACAGCTGATAGATATGTCAATTGCAAATGCGCCAAGTACCAGCTTCGAGCCAATCAAGTTCAAAAGGCCGAGGAGACCTGTGGCTTGTTTACAAGGGTATGTTTACATCTGCAATGCTCGACTTTTTCAACGTTATTCTATTAACTTGGCAAAGCTGAAGAGACTTTCAGGTTGTCATTTTACTTGTCTGTTATTTCAGGAAGGAGTCGGGGCAGCTGACAACCTCAATGAGATGCAGTGTATGTGGTTCCAAACAGAGAGTGGCTATGCTTTTCAGAGACTTGGAAAACTGGGAGATGCTCTAAAGAAAGCTCATGAGATTGAAAGACATTTTGATGAGATAACGGAGGACCAGTTTGACTTCCATACCTATTGCATGAGAAAAATGACATTAAGAGCTTACGTCAGGTAGGTGTAAGTCTTGTGGTTAGGGTCAGGGTTAGTTCCCTATTCATTAGAATGGTAACACTTTGGTGATTGTGTTACTCTTGTCACACAACCATTCCCTCCCATGGAGAGTGGGAAATTTAAAACACTGACATAATTATGGTCCTGCGTATTACACTCCATCATTGGAGCTCAACATTGTGTATATAAAAAATTTGTGCTTTTCTGATGAAATCTGACAGAAGCCACATTTGATGGCCAGACACATAAAATGCAGTGTACTGGAGACTGTCATTAATTTTTGCAGCTAAGGATTTGTACCATTGTAGTATTATTCTGTGCGTAGAAGGATTTCATTCCAAACTGAAGATGACCTGTTTCTGTAATAGCTGCAAAAATAGGTGAAATATAAGGGCAAAGCAGTTATGTCTTAGTCAAAAGGAAATCAAACCTAGATTTGAGTGCCAAACATAGGTTTGGACCTTAAAACTGGATTTGTTCAAACTTAGAGCTCCACACCACTAGACTTGTGGTCAGCTATTTCTCACATTGGCCAACTAAGAGATGCCTCAGTAATTGATTTCTTTTGTTTGAATATTATTTAATCTATCACCTAGGAAAATCCATACCCACAGCTCATTTGGTTTTTGTATTACAGATTACTCCGACTTGAGGATGTTCTCCGGAGTCATAGGTTTTACTTCAAAGCTGCAAAAATGGCCATAGAAGTATGGGCTCTATTGCTGTTTTAAGTTTGTATTATTCTTCTGTGTTTCCATCTACATGTATTTTGATAACAAATGAACACAACAAATCTGCCAATTTAGAGACTGGAGTGAAAAGGAAATTTGTCTTTCTCTATGAAAATGTAATAAATTGAAGAACTTAGTGTTCACGTTTTGTGATGATTAGATGTATCTCTTATTTTAGTGTTATGTACGCCTACATGACAAGCCTTTGACAGCTAATGATGAAGATGCTGAGGCTGGATCCAGTGAGCTGTCAGCGAAAGACCTGAAAAAACTTCGAAGTAAGCAAAGAAGGGCTGAGAAAAAAGCTCAAGAAATAAAGAAAGGTATGATTAAGTTTTTGTAGGTTGCTGCGTGGCATCTGTAGTCATGGACTTAAGTCCTTGAGACAGTGATGCAATAATAAATTATTTGCAATTTCCTGTAATCTCTTGATGCTTTACAAAGGATTGCAAATGTTTTGCAAATCCCTTGCATTCTCCTCTTCCCACCCCACCCTACATACAAAATGGCTTAACACTGCAGTTACACCTGTAGATGGGTGGAGGGAGAGTGCCTGGCCAAACTGAGGGAGCGGTAAGGGAGCACACGAGGTCACCATGACAACCGTGTGAGCAGCAATCACCAGGCATAGTGACACAGGGAGAGTGGAGAGTTTCATAGATTCTTATCAAGGCGCATCCAGAGGGAGGGAGGGAGGGCTGGAATCAAAACGGTTAAAATACCTGCATGCGTACGGCAACGTTAGCGTAATGAATTAACCTACGCGATAGTGCCGTAAAATGATCACTGGTGTAGTGCAAGTGCCCAGGACTGCCAAACATACATACAATAAGTGACAGAGACTGCTGGTTCGGTTTGGCACATGAAAGGTACGGCATCTGAACCAGGCCTAAGTGATTTATGTTAAAAGTTGAAAAAACCGTGGAAGGGTCTATTACAATTAGCTGCCTGAAATTTAGGAAAAATTGTGGATTGACGGGCTCAACGTTGTATGTCACATTGTGGGGTGGTAAGTGCACTTAAACACAGCGCAACAAATGCAAACTTGTCCCAAGAGTTTGTTTGGATTTTAGTTTTCATAAACTATCAAGGTAGCCGCACCCCAGTTTCTAAAGAAAAAGTCTGCTTTTTGTCCATAAGATTGTTGCAGTGTATTTCTTCTTTTTTCTCCCTTAGCAAACACTGAAGTAAAAGAAAACAAAGAAAGTGAGAAGAAAGCTGATCCATTCAAAGAACCTCCTTTGGAGTCTGAAGCGTTGAGCAGGGTGAGATACTTTATAGACTCTTGTTGTATAAATCGTCAAGCCCCAGTGGTGACAAGTATCAAATTAATTCTCCTCACAGCATCAGGGTATAATCAAGCAAAAAAGTCATGAGATTTAAGACGTTGATCTTCCAAAATCTATTACGTTGTTCTTTTGGCGTCTTCTCCAAACCAATGCCATGCCGAGAAATGTAAGGAGATCAGTTGAAAGAATTTTTTGGGCTAATAGGTTTAGGTGAAGAGGTCATCACCCTAGTGTGTCCAACTCTCGTGAAATCGTGCGAGGCCTGGGGTCACAGCGTATTTAGAATTTCTGATTTATCTTTGGCAACGAAAACTCAGCCAGTCAGAGCAGGTTTAAGGGTTTGAATTTCCCGTAATGGTAGATGTCATGAGTTCAGCGATTAGATTAGCTTGATGAAGAGTAATAGGTGGTGAGGGGGGAAAAAGGAACGAAAGAAAAAAAGATCTTTCATTTTTAGGTTTCTGAAATTGCCCACCTACCCCTCCATTAACTCAACGTAAACAGGTACTGCTCAATTGGGCAAAATGTTGAGTTTGGGGAGGGGTAGGTTTTCAGTTTCCTAGAAGATTTCAGCACAATTTATGTTTTGCAAGTTTGCAAATGTGTTGTTTTTTGTATTGTTATCTTCTTTGCAGGTTTCAGATCCCCTTGACCAAGCTCTCAAGTTCTTGCGCCCGCTACAAAACCTAGCGTCAAATAGAATAGAAACGCATTTGCTGGCATACGAAGTCTTCATTAGGAGAAGTACGTATATTAAAACCCATTAATACAAATACACTCTGACTTGTGACGTTTTCACCGAGCCATCGTCGTCGAACTTGCTAAGCTCCCTGAAGCCCACATAACAAAGGAAATAAGAGATGTCTGCACGCAGTCTTTAATTTCTGGTTCATTTTCTTTTCAGGCAAACTTCTTTTGATGCTTCAGTCTGTTAAGCGGGCCCACGCCATCGACCCAAATCATCCTCACTTGCACGAACATCTGATTAAGCTAGCGGTCAAAGGTTGGTAAATCTCTTGAGGTCTACTCTCTTTCTTACTTTGTTGCTACTTTGACTTGCAAGAACTTCCTGCAACACGAAACAGGAGCGGAGAGGGTGAAAAGATCCTACAATCTGCGTCAAAAGTAGTTAACGTGCTTGTCTAAAACGCGCGCAATTTCGTTCGTCATAAAATTTTGTTTAAAATTTGTAAACCCCCCCCTCCTCAATAAATGTTGTTTGTAGTTGAAGAAAGACTTGAGGGTTTAAACATACAACATTAGTTTGAGGGAGGGGGGGTACACAAGGGGAGGGGATAGATAATTATGTTCATTATGCAAAAAAGGGTTGTTTTACGAAAATGTCTCAACACTTTTGTCCCTCATTACAGGGTATTGTAGTTTTTACACAAAATCTGAATTGTTGCAATTTTCACAGTGGTTACTTATGAATTAACTTACAGCAGCATCTTGTATATATATATATATTTTTTTGGTATTGCAGTTTAATATATTCTGTGTAGATTCTTTCTGCTTCAAATTTTTGGCCAGTTACACAACATAAGTACGTGTTTATGACAGCTTTTTTTATTATTATTTTTAGTTTCTGTTTCTAAGGACTTGAAAGTTCCAGTGTCAACAGTAATAGAACGTGAACTCCAAAAATTACTTGGCAACAAAGATCTTAAACAGTTCAACTCGGATTTCCTGGAACGACATTCGAGGTCTTTACTCCACAGGCTTTCAGGTAATGATCATATGTTTGTTTGTCACTTCTTACTGTTTTCTGATTTATCGAGCTTCGAAACCCGAGGTTTCCCCCAGCGGTTTATGACGTATGTGACGCAGACTTGATCAGGCTTGATTCATTGGTATAATTAGGGATGCAACAGGACACCGAACCATCCATGAACCGCGATGGTTCTTCCAATGTTACAAATATCAATATTTGAACAACCAATCAACTCCAGCCTAGCGTGCTTTTTGTCTTATTCAACGTGGCGGACACGATGGCGAACAAACCATCGCGCACCTATTTGTTACTTGTCAGCTGTACAGTATTGTGCGTCCGCCACAAGCAGAACAAGCAAATTACGTGGTCGCCACAGTTTAGTTAGTTAGATGAGTTGTTAGTTAGTTGGTCGGTAAATAGTCTTATCACAGTAATGTATCGTATCGTGCATCGTGTCGGTGCCATTTTATCGCGAACAGTATCGTATCGCAAGAATTGCATCAATTTACATCGTTGCAGCCCTAGGTATAACGCAAATTAAAATTTTGGCTCTCTTGTTTGTAGGGAGTAAAATGATGTGTTTGTTGGATGCTTCAAAAGTCGATGATGCGCTGGCGCTAGTTACAGATTTATCGGACAACCTCGAAGACAGGACATTAGAGGTTAGACTACATGAAGGTTCTTCTGTTAATTGACAAATCATTGCAGGTGCCGCGGTAACGAACACTTACTCTACCAGAGGGGGGGAGGGGAAGGGTGTATTGGAAAGATGCGGGTAAGGGGAAAGGAGTGCATATGCGTTATTAGTAAAATCCAACTGGTGGTCTATTACCAATGCTGCGTTCCGATTGGTTGAGCTACTACTAGGCTATATGTTATAGCCCACTCGTAGCGAAAAGCGCCGGCTTTGAAAACCGAAACAATGGCGGCTGAATCGCGTTTTGCTAGCTAAAGTTGTTTTGTCTCGATATTTTTCACCAACTCGTTGGATTTTACTAAAACAATTATCCCTCTCGCCCTCATGGCTTTTGAGTCAATAGAGGGAAAACAAGAAGAGAAGCTATCGACTCAGAGCCCATTCGGGCTCTAGGAATAATTGTCAATTATTCGAGCACCGTTGTTTGCACTTTAAATCAATGGGAATACCAATTTCTCCTTGTTTTTTCGGCTCCTAAAATTCAAATTTAAATTTACAAAAGAGGTTAATGATAAACTGGAAAACATGAAATTTTCTCGATCTCCTGGTAACACTTAACAGAGCATCAATTCTTCACAGGTCCCTAACCTATTCTTATCGTCCTTAGAACTGCACATTGATCTACAACACTCTGTTAGAAGGTACGTTCGGAGAGTGCAGCGATTTGACAAAGGAATACTTTCTCAAATGCCGCTCTCTTTTTCCATTGGCCACTGTTTTTGCGAAAGATGATGGAGCTGTTGGTAACGTGAATGGTGTGGAGGGAGCGCAGTCTAATCCTAATGAGCCGCTATGTGACGGAGTAGCTTGAGAGAGTTGAGGAAAAAAGAGGGGGAAATGAAATTTTACCTAGCCATACTGAACGATCTTTTAATTTGTGGAGAGCACGATGCAGAGATGCTGTGGATCTTAGAGCGAACCGTGTTTCAGGATTTTTTAATGCTTATCGTGGAGTCTCCATGGTAAATTCGTCGGGCACGGAAAAAATACCCGACTATGGACAACGTAGGAAACTTCCTCGAAAGTCTCAACAGAAGCTGACGTTTCGACGAAAAATCAATAGAAGCAATCTGCAAAATTCGCTGGCGTGAGACAATTATTGTGGATTTACTGAGCACTGCTACTGGAACGTTTTTGCAGATTGAGCTTGGATGTTGGCAGATGACTATGTAACTATAGACGATTCACCTACTAAAAGGCCAGGAATTTGTTTTCAGTAAATCACAGTACGGTGTATTTTGAAATAATAAATATTAATTCATGAGAAAGCCACGTTGAAATATTGAATCTTCACTTTAAACGCAAAGCTGGAGTTTATAAACGTAAGCTTTTATGTCGCAAGTTATGCCAGCTTGTAATATGCATTGAAAGAGCTCCTGTAATGTCTTCTAACAATCGTCAGGTCGATTCATTTCCAACAATCGTCAGAAACTTCGATACTTTCAAAACCCAGGGTTTTCATTTTTCAGATTTGCTTAAAAATTTTGTTTCAATTCTTTTTGTCTACAAGTTGATAATTGGAAGCTCTGAAAATAACAGAGAAAATTATCCGAGAAAAATGCTTTTGAACACAAGAAAAAGAAACCGGTGTTAAATTTAACCCCGGGTTAAGCGCTAATCAGCTTTCGAACAACTGGGCCCTGGGCTATTATTTTTAAGGTACTGCTCGCCAGAGGGTTAGTGGACTTAGGTGGCTTCGGTCTATAGAAGTAAACCACCATGTCGTCTTAGTAAAAGGAAGCAAAGGGCACATCAGTCGTGTGCCACAGTCCGTCACATCGCTGAATTCTGTGACGGACGTTAAACAGGCCACGCTACTTTCAATCTGTTTACAAAGCTTGAACGTGTTTTCAATAGAGAGAAGTCGTTACGTCGCGTTGCCAGGGTGGTAAAATTTCTGGATGACAACAGACCAAAAACGTCACTTAAAAAGTGAATTCACACTGTTTCAAAATTCATCGATCTTATTCAATTTCATTTAATTTGTCAAATGTTGGCGAAATTTTCTGGGGTTGAATCCGAAAGGATCGTATCTAAGTTTAGAAAAAGAAGAAGAAAATTTTGTGTTGTGTTCATCTACTCCATAAAGCGGACGCGTGAAATTAGAAGTTTCATGTCGCAGTCGTGCAACGACGGCTAAAATAATGTACAAAAAAGCGTGATGCACGTGCAAAATTATTGTTTTGCTAATCTATGGTAGGTGGGGTAACTCACCTGTCCATATAATCTCTCATTTTAATTTGATCACGTTTACATGATAGGCGGGGTGACCCGCCGCGAGTTACCTTACCTACCTGGGGTCCCCCACGTTCATGTAAACAGGCTCCAAACCTATTGGGGTTTTTAACCATTCTCGCTGGCGTCGCCATCCTCGTTGCTTAAGCTCCCTATTGTTGTGATCCAGTAATTTTGGTACCATGGTAACGTGAAGTCACACTTCTCTCTACTGAATTCCGACACTAATGGTCCATTTTTGTTCTTTAAGACTATATTTAGGCAATAAAACTGTTTGCTGTCGTCTGTTTTTACGCGTGGGATGGCAAGGATGGACATGACTTTCAGGTTTACACTATTCCTGAAAAGATCACTCAAAAATTATGGTTAGGGCTCCCTGGTGAAGTTTATTCGGTACTTCATAACTCTACAGTAGTATTTTGTGCGTAAGTGAAGAAAGGAAGGGTGCTTTCCATTTGTCAGAACTGGCGGGCCGGACCTTTGCCCGACCAGTCAGTTTGAAAATTAAATTAAATGCTTTTTCCCAGAGTTTTTGCTGAAAAACCATCTCCTCCGTGCATGCTATTTACGATTTGATTGATCTCATCTGGCTGGTTAGCTTTGATTAAAAGTGAAATTCCCATTACGACGGGAACGGTCTGGCCGGTCAGTTCAGACAAATGGAAAGCGCCCTAAGAAATGACTTAAGCACAGAATTGACCTAAAAAGGCCATATCCTCATGATAAAACCCCTGTACGGTGAAAAAGCCAGCAATAATAAGAGGTGCCTGTTTTTACATGATACTGTAAAGTAAGGCGATTACAACCAAACAAAGACTGGAAAACTGGACAGTGATGGCCGCTTGACTACCTGTGAAGAAAATAATAACCGGGTTATTTATTCGCTTAAAACATACTGACCAGCGCATGTTCACCTAAAGCCATTTTTCGCTTTCATTTAAAAAAGTAAGGCAAGTTCCAGGAAGAGTGAGTATCAAGCACGACTCACGCATCTGCTGTAGTTATCAAGGGTGTATTTTAGACTTTTAGACCGAAAACATGGATCATGGTTTATTTTAGTAAATACGCCCGTCCTTTAAGAATTAACCTTAAAAGCAATTTCAGTGTTATATTTAATACCAAAATGGCAAATTATCTCTTTAAACCCAATTGTAAGACAAGGAATTTTACCCTTTTTCAGTTACAGAAAGCTCTTTCCAGCTCGACCCCATCCCACTCATGTTGCATCAGCATACCGTATTTTATGTCTCGAGCTCACCGCTGCAATTTAGAACACAAAACTTACTTATCAAAGTTAGTTCGATTCCATCCCAGTAAACACCGTACTCCTTAATCACACTGGCCCTGAAACGAAAGGAAAGTGTGGATCTATTAATCATATCCAGGAGTTGTCATATCGTGTCTGGCCCGAGAATAGGGCATTGTCATTAACCAACGCACCTCGCGACTTTTTTGTGATATTTATCGGGCCACATTTATGGAATGATTAATTTTCTTTCACGCCAAATGATGGTGAACAATCGCTTTATGACAGGCAATGTTCATTATTTTCCTTCTCTAACATATTTCCATCCATGCCTAATTAGTTCCCAACTACCCGGCAAACTTCCCCGGCCCCACCTGATGTGGATTATTCCCGGTGGGTGTTCCTGTGGAGATATCCATTCGAGTTGGAGGTCGGTCCTCTCTTTGGACGTAGAGTTGAGTGCCACTTCGTTCTAAAAATAGATAAAAACTAGGTTGTTATTTTTGAGCCGGGAGGAGCAAAACACTGTTCGATAGCTCAACTCTTCGGCGGTTCTTATCAGCTATACGCAGCTGTATGTTGCATATTCCAAACTCTGCAGAGGGAAATTGTTTAACAGGAAAAGAAAACCACACACTATGTCTGAAAAGCGACATAAAACCCCAAATTGCGAATTACCAAAATGCAATCGTGAGAAACAGTCCCGCCTTGGGCCGCCATGTTTTTGTTTCTTTTCAAAACCGTTAATATATGGTTTTTGACGTAATGCGCATGATCATGCTGCTGGTTATGTCAACATTAAACAGGGGCGTAGCCAGGATTTTTCAAAGGGGAGGTCACAGACAGGGACACCATCCGGGGATTGCCGACTATATATGGTTTATACCGCTGCTCTCCCTCGTGTATCAGCGGGCTCAGTCATCGCGGCATGAAGGTCCATATCAACTAAAGACGAGAGCCGTTGACGAAAATACTTTACAAAAAAACAAATTTTAAAAAAGTGGGCTTTTCAACAATGCCTTTTACGGCCAAGATATTGTCATGGCGTTTTCGCCACCTGAATATTGTAGGTTGTTTGCGCAAAAGAAGGCCTACCAAGGGGGGGTCACGGGCACCCCAGGACACCCCCCCCCCTAGCTACGCCCCTGTTAAAGACATTTGAGGCGCAGGGATAGCACAATTTAATGTCATGCATGTAATTACGCCCCTTTTGGGAAATCATCTTTTGTTTCAGTGGCTAGCGTAAACGAATGAAAAGCATGAGCTTACATGTATGCGTATACAGTACAACCCTGGTGACTCGAACTCCCTCTCTAACTCGAATTAAGTCCCATTTCCCTTGGAATGGACCCCATTTCAGCCATTTGTACTCGGCTACTCGGTTAACTCGAATTCCCCAACAACTGGAACTAAATTTAGTTTTCCTTTATCAAGAATATTTTCCCGATAACTCGAATTCTGGTTTTTCCTTTGCCATCCCATTAGAATATTTTCCAATCGGAAAATACTAAATTCTGGTTCTTACAACTCAATTTGTTTGCAATCCATCGAACTGAAAATACTAAAGCTAGTGACGCGTTGCGTGACGAACAGAAAATTTGTTTTCAACTATGCGCGAACAAATAATTTGACAGTCATTTCCCCATATTATCATGAGAAAGCATCATCGCGTTAAAGCTTCTGATAAGTTTGATTTGCACTGTACTGCATACTAAAAGGCCAGTAAACTATCAGTTATTTTAAAACACAACAAATTGAATAACCAGACGACCCCGATTACTCGAATCCCCGCTAATTCTTCCCTTCAGAATTCGAGTGACCGAAGTTCTACTGTATATTTTACGTACTGTTTTATCCCGCGGGATGAAGTGGCATTCTTCTTTCTGTACTCCCTGAGGCAAGGGTGTCACAAAGTGCCCACTTGGTTTATCTGCAGACTCGTTATATATGTATATGATGAATCCCACAAACTTTTCTGTTTTATTTCCTGTTCGTATGCCACTCAGCGAGACTAAATGAGAAGAATCAACAAAGGACTGTGAAGTTAACGTACCTTTTTTAGGGTAATACCGTGTTGTCCACTGAATGCCGAATATCAAGCTAGTGTAATTGCTGCGGAGCGACCGAAGGGAGCGAGCAGCAACATAATCAGGATTTAAAGGAAATATATAAGGGGCGACGAATTCTCGAATTCATCACTTTTTACCACAATGCATTGCATTTAACCACACTTTTTACAACAATGCATTGCATTTCACCAGAGTGCATTGCGCCACGTACAACTCAAAGAAAAACACGGGGAAGTTCGGTGGGTGAGAGAGTGCATCGTTCGCTGCTCAGACTTAGAGGCACGCAGGAGTCTTTCAGATGAGTACGATGGTTAACTTGGGGATTGGATTTCAATTCAAGAGCCTTTGACTCGTCCAGGTGTTAAACCTGACGAGAAGATGAGCATTTGCTCTTCGACTCCGCAACACGGGGGATATACAAATTCCAACTTGCTAGAAGGTGATGTGAAAGTGAGAAAATGTCATGCAGTGCTATTCTTAAGAAACTGTATGAGCCGAAAATGGATGTGATTTTGACCATTCGCTTCAAAATAACAGCGGAAATCGAGATAACAAAACATATGTTTTGTGTCCTACTTTGCAGACGAGGACGTGTATCGGCGTTTTGAAAAGCATAATTGTGTTCTTTCATTCATTCATTGCCATGGAATATGCGTTTACATTGTTTTTTCACTGTTAGTAGCTCGGTTAATGCGGCTGGCGATCATCTTGCCGGCGGATATTTTAATGGAAAAGGAATAAAATCAAGACTTTTCTCAAGAATTACGTATTCAGCCTCTGTGCTGTAGTGGTTAGGCGTAGTCGCGTCGAGCCGAAGGTGCCGGGTTCGAGTCCTACCGAATTCTTTATTCCTTCTTTCTTTTGTTTTTCCGTTTTTTGTGTTGTTGTTTTCTACAAATATATAGCTAAATAACTGTTACTTAATAAAGTGCAACAAACAGCAAGAAAAGTATTGTGTTTCCGGAGAAAATATCGTGCACCGTATATTAAATATATGGATAAACAATCTGAATTTCTATTACAGTAAAAACCCGCAACTAAGAACCTACATTTTTAGGAGTTAGCCTAAACAGGTTCTTATATAAATGGTAGTTAACAGAATTTTAGGCTATTTAGGTTCTTAAAATGGGTTCTTAATCCTGGAGAAAAAACAATTAAAACACAGCTGTAAACAAGTTGGTCATTAGCCTATACTTTTATTTTCTTCAGTCCCACCCCACCCCCCACCCCCCCAAAAAAACATTTAAGAATATATCAATTTATACATTTACATGTATTTATATGCTTTGCCGAGCTGTACAAAGCTTTAACTGTAACAATGATATTCAGGATAATACTCAGAACATTTTTCTTTAAAAAACATTTTTACAACAATGGCAATCTTCTTTTTTTGCTTCAAATATGATTCTTGCAATGCAGTTATAATGTACTAGTATGATTTTAGAAAATAAGAACCTGCTTTAAATTTCTTAGGCTAAATAGGTTCTTGTTTATAGGGGGTATAAATGACCAATTTTAGGCTAACAGGTTCTTAATTTTTAGGTTCTTAGTTGCGGGTTTTTACTGTATTTCCTACAATTTACTGTGGGAAAACCAGAGTTATAACCACTTGATCATTTTCTAAACAACGTTCCCACGAGTTCTTTCTATAGACTGATAGTAAATATTCTAGTACTTTCCAACACGTAAATAGGACATTCAATGTCATTTTCAATTCTGCCTAACTAATGCCAGTATCAACAGAATGTGCCGCAGCATTACTATCTTTTAGATACCCTAGTAATATAATACTTAACTTCTGAATCGCGCTTTATACAGTTGTTAGCGCTATACAACCTTGGACATCCGAGGACCTGTAGATCTGTGTTTGGTACTTACTTGTGTAGCCTGATCATTTTGTCTATAAAGAGGTGATAACCAAGTCTCAATTCTCCGGGATTCCGGATCCGGGTATATTTTTGCTTCTGGTATCCGGAATCCCCTTAACGATTGGAATGCCGAATCCAGTATATGAGACTGTCGCTATAATTTTCGTGCAAGCGCAAAAGCTATACGGTATATATAGTTTGAACATAGCTTTAGATTACCTTAAATGAGGGATTCTTACCGTTGTAACGTAAATCGCCACCGTAGTAACTTAAATCAGGAAGAGGCTGACCATCTTCATCCGTCACGTTGAGTACATAAGGAGGTGATGAATTCTGAGGTTCAACTCCGGGATAAAAGTCCCTCTGCACACTTGGACAGGGAATTAAAATGGTTGCCTCAGCATTCTGAATGGAAAGAACAGCTAGGCTCCATACCAGCCTTGTTCCCAACGTGCCCGACATTATAAGTCTCTTCACTATCCTGTAGAAAAAGGCGCCCAAAACAGTCAAGACGTTTCACTTCAGGTTTACAACCGTGGCATAAAAATCGTCCATTTACACTGCATTTACAATTACAATGAATTTGGATTTTCTGGTAATTGTACATCGGATTTCAATTCCCTTCCCCCGAAATACTAATTTGATACGATGTAAGAATTGATAGCAAAACTGACAACTGCAGTCAAGCTTCCTTTAGCGAAACCTTTCACTCCTCCTGGTGGCCAATATAAACAAAACTCAATAGAAAAAAATCTTGTTTCGGTTTGCAAAACCCTAAGAAATGAATTGCACCGTGCAAAACGTCTGCCCAAGAGGTTTTATTTGAATGGTAACATCATAGGACGTCGTCCACAACAGATGTAAAAGTTAGGGTGAGAAACAACTTCTAGTTGGATGTTTGTGGTTGTTTTTGAGTGATGTTGGACCATCATGTCGTTAGACCTTAATTTAACGTTGAAACGCCTTGTTGGACGTTGAATTTTGTAAGACATTTTAAGATATGTCCCAGAGTCACTGGGCAGCCAAAGTGCCTGCGGAATAAAATGAAAGAAACCAATGAAATAAAAAGTTAAAATAACAACAAAAATCAAAGAAACTCCTTTCTAATTTTTATCTTTCGTTTTAACTGACTTGGAGACGGTTGGTCATTCATGCGTTATTCAAGCACGTATTATTGTTTTTAGATACCCATGAACGTCAATTACAGCGACTTTTTTCCTGTTGTCCTACAAATGTACGTAGTTAGGAGCTCATTAGCTCTCATTACCTGATGCATTATATACGAGACTAAATAGTTTATTTTGTTGTGTTTTTAGTTGGCGTCCGTTGAAAAGGTGCACGATCATGATTTAAAGTGATTTTGGTCAGTGAAAAATGAAAATCCGTTGCCCAGCATAGATATTAAACATGAGTTTACTGTGTGCATCGACGCTTTCGAAGTCTTCGCAGATCGAGTCAGTTTTGAGATATCTTTAAAGCTGTGAAGTCAAACGTACATGTTTGGGCTTAAGCAAGTGGTGTACATTACCTGTATTTCTAGAAGAGAATACGAACTCCAGCACCCAAGAACGATTACAATTCAATGTCACGTTTCCCTTGCGTTTGATGGTATGCGAGAACGCGCTGATGCAGAAGTGAAAACTGAGTAATAGCTCCAAAGAGGGAGATAGAGACAATTTATGGCCTAGTAATTTCATGCATGGAAGATCGTGAAGCTCCATCAGGGGCGGATCCAAGATTTTTCTTAAAAGGGGGGGGGGGGGCACCACTAAGGAACTACCATTTTTAACTCCCATTTTTGCGATGTTTAACATTAAAACTCCAACCTCGTCTTATGTTTCACTTCAACACCAACAAACCACAAAGTTTTTTTTTCTTTTTTTTTTTCTTGCACAATACCAGTTGTGTTAGAAAGCCACAGGTCATCTCGGTCATATTCTCCGAATATCTCGCATATGAAAGATTGCACCGCCCTGAAACTGGGCGACGCTTTTTGTATATTTACCTTCTTTCATTTTCCAGTTTCTGGACTTTATGTATTGCATGATCGGTTGTGATTTCTATCCTTGAATGCGTGACTAAGTGAAAACCAGCGACAGAATGCCGCATGTGTATTGTGACTCAGGAAAGCAAGGGTCTACGAAGTTGAAGCTGTGTAGAGATGTGTATAATTTTCAAGGAAGGGTGGAAATTATTGGCAGTCAAACAGGTGCCACACCCCCGTGCCACCTTCTCCCTTACCTCTTACCCCAAACCATCTAAAAACCAAATCATCCTTTTACATCCAAATCATTCTTTCCTGTGTTGTAACGGTCAAGGAACATCTTAAGAATCCTTGAACATGACTGTATTATATAGTATGTTTATTATATGGCTACAACAGTACGAGCGCTCTGATTGGCTGTTTTCTTGTAATGACCGGGGATTAGTCCCGAGTTCAAATCCTCGACCACGCCTGTAAATAGCCAACCGTTTTGCCTCTCCGGCCAGTTGGGATTCTTAACCCTGTTAACTTGATTTAAATTATTTGTTTCAGGAATTTGCTCGTCCCTACTAGCATTAGTGCTACAAACACTGCCTGGGGTAAATAACGGAAATTAATTTTTTTTATTTCTATTTTTAAATTTAACAGTTTCCCCTGCAATTCTCTAATCTGCATACATTGTAATATACTACTGCTATAAAGGTAGGGATAGGGATAGGGGTACGGAGGGGGGGACAGAAGGGGTTTCCTTTCTCATAACCCTTAAGTTAATTACCAATGTACCTAAAATAATAATAATAATAATAATAATAATAATAATAATAACAATAATAATAATAATGCTGTGAGCAGTATACAAGATCAAATGCTGCGACTGCCAGGCTTCTTACATTGGTGAAACCAGCAGAAACCTAAGCACGCGACTGACCGAACACAAACGAGCGACGAGGAATGGTGACGTCAACAATCACATTGCTGAGCACCATTTACAGACGAAACATCGAATTGACTGGGACTCTGCGACATGTATAACGTATTCTACAGACTACTATCAACGTCTTACTTTAGAAAGCTGGTTTACTAACTTAGAACAAACGCCACTGAATCGTAGCCAACAGTTACCAGCGCCGTACAAACGACTTATTGACGAGATCAAGCAAAACTAACTACGAGAGAACGACTGGAGAACTGACAATTTGGCTAACAATAGACGACTGTTTAACTGTGACAACAGACGGATCGAAACGCACCAATTACTGATTACGAGTCTTCATAGCCAATAACATCACGGCTTAACTGACAGACGACCAATAACATCGCGACGTAATTGACCAATTAGATCAATAACCAGAGTATAATACCATCAACTGACGTGATACAACTCACTTTGACTCTAAAGATGACTACCGCACAGGTTGTCAAAACGTCAGTCACTGTCAACAACAACAGTCCTATTCAGGACTACGTTCACCCGGACGATCAAACTCAACCTGCTTTTGAAATAATAATAATAATAATAATAATAATAATAATAATAAATTTATTTCCAGTATTTCCATAAAGGTGGCTCTTCATCTGGATGATAAAAGAAAATAAATGTAACAAAACAAAAACAAAAAGACTAAATATTACATTACTACACTAGGAATTTGAATGAGACTATTCTAAAAACTATGTCAGGATAACAATTCCCTTCCTTCCTCAAAAATTTATTTATAATACAAAATAAAATAGACAAAATACAGTTATACTATGTTCAGTTACGTTCTGTTAATTCTCAGTTTCCGTTAAATAGTTAAATGTCGCTTTAGAAAAAGTGCTAAAATCTGAGCAGTTTCTAACTAATAAAGGTAGTTTATTGAAGAGCTTTGCTGCTTCATCTTGAAATGTACTGGATTCCATTGGTGTAACAAAGGGTATCCCTGAACATAACCCCAGAGCCTTTCCTGTCACGTGACCCGTAGCTATGCAAATTTATTGGAGCAAAAGAACGTTTTTACGTGAGCAAAAGGTTCATCTCCCACAGGACTGACAGCCGTTTCAATTGGGACACAAAAATAACGGACGTGACGTCATGAGAAAACGCTCAATATTAGCCTTCAAATCAAGCTAATTTTCTCCTAATATGTACCCACATTCCAAATCTTACTTAGGTGTGTAGCATCTCCCGTTTGGTAACGCAGATCATAAAGAGGCTGACCATCTTTGTCAGTCACGTTAAGTACATAGGGTGGTGGTGAATCCTGAGGTGCAACTCCGGGATAACAGTCCCTCTGCACACTTGGACAGGGAAGTCGAGTGTCTGCTTCGGCAGTCTCAACGTAAAGCACAGCTAGGCTCCATATAAGCGATGTTACTAGCGTGCTTGACATCATGCCCTTTTGGCCTGCAGGTGAAAACAGGCGCTCGTACATTCGACACTAGAGAGCTTTAGATTCTTGGACGAGGACGGCTACGACAACGAGATTTTACTAATACTAAGTAGTGCGCGCGGGCGAACCAACGTCATTTTGGCGGGAAAATTTGTGGCCGTCGTCAGTCTACTACAAGTTTTAGCGAGAATGTCGTAGTGCCGGGAATGAGTCATCAAATGTGAGAAGTTTTATCATTTTGCTATCGGGAGAGAGCGTAACCTCCTTCAGTATAAATTAACCGTAATAAATTTTTTGGTGAAAAAAAGTAAAATGAAGCTTTCCGGGGTTACCGTGTCTTTGTTCGGAACACGCGCAAAAACTTAAAAGTTAAATCTCGTACGTACTCGCTCGTTCTCGTCCTCAGATCTAAAGCTCTCTACACATAGTTATTTGTTGTTAAACAGTTCTTGATGTGGTAGTAGTGGGGACTGTGATTGGCCTGTTATCAATCTGGAGAAATGGGATTTGCCCACAGTCAATGGAAGAAAAACGCCGAAATACGAATGGGACAAACATCCTGCTGAGCGGATTACCTTTACAGACAAACGATACTCGGCTCTCAAAAGACAGATAAGGAACTGAATGCCTTGCGTTGTGGGAAAGGTAAGTACCTCTAATGAGTTTATCAGAAAAAAAAATTCGAGCTTTTCATGTTCTTAGGAAATCAGCATGCGTTAACTAATTAACGCACGTAAAGGCACGAAAGGCAATTTTGCATATATCAGAAAGAGAATACGCAATCATTTTTGAAAACTGTTTCTTCAAAACGGGTTTCTGATATGGGCAGCAGCTTACTGCACGTACACATCCGGATATACGTCCCAGTATATGTTCCCATATAAATCCGAATTCGTCGTACAACGACGGCAAAGCAATGTAGTGTGATCCACGTGCAAAGTTCTGTTTTGCTAATCTGAGTAAATCTATGACACTTCATTTTTGGTCTTTTGGCCTTTCTAGTTGCCGTTGTCGTCGTCTTTAATTTGCTTAAGCTCCCGCTAATAGCTAGACAACTCCACTATCACGACAACTAAACACTAGTTAGCTTCAGTGATCTTAATTATAAACTAAGTTTAAGAACTTCCGCAAAAAAGCTTTTCCCAGCAAAAAACTGACATATTTTTCGAGATCTCCGTTTGTTCTACTGCAAAACAGGGCGAAATCATTGCAAATGAATTATACTGATAACTTACCTTCGAATTCAACAAGTACGAATAAAAAAGTTGTCTTCATGCACAGCCTCGCCAATATAAGCTTGCCGCGAAACATAAGGGAAAGACATGCACAGCGGCACGCATCTCGACCCTCGTTCTGAAGAAAAACACCAGACACCAAAAATCTGCAACAGGCCATTTTCGAGTTCCCTCAAGCCTCTGTTTCGAAGCGAGGATTGATCTGACACGTCGAACTACTACGATCTACAACTTCGAACTACCTTCGACAGAACTTCGCCGGTCCCGATTTACTGACACTTTTGGAGATCTCTGGTTGAAACGCTATGCAATTAAGTCAAACTGGACGACTTTTTGATTTGCGGATTCATGAGTTACTTGATAAACTTGTCTTGGCGCGAGGGCTCCATGATAAACTTTGCCGAGCACAAAGTTAAGAATCAAAATGAGAATCATCCTTCAGTTTCTTCACAGAAACAAACGTTTTGACGTTAAAATAATAGATAAAACTACTATACGAGTCTAGCGTGAGATAACTAATTTGCATTTATTGGCAATGTACAATACATTTTCTTTCTTAAAAAAACAAAACCTGTGTTCAGTGATACATCACGGAAAAAACATTCAAGTACATGACTACGTAACTAATTATGGACTCCTGTGAAACTAAATATTTAAATTAAAGAATTTTTTTCCTTTAAATCACAAATCGGTGTATTTTGAAATAATAGATTATAACTGACGAGAGAGCAACTTTGCTTAAACTGAATCAAAATTTCACTTCTCAACATACGCTTCAGTTTTGTGTCTGTTGAAATGATTATTTGCAAATGTAGCTAATCGGGCCTACGTTGTGCCAGAATCAATATAGTTTGAAACTGCAACATGATTTTCTAGTTCCGTTTTAGTTTAATTAAAAACGACAAATGGTTTTATTTTTTCGAGGCATTGAAATCTGGAAGGTGCATCGAAAACGAAACGTAAGACATTATTTCCTCAAGGGTTAAAAACGAAACAACAACTCGGCTTCGTCTCGCCCTGTTCTGCTTTGTAACAGATCAGCCAAAAGCCAGTAACAAAGGGAAAAGTCTATTTCTACATGAAATTGTAAAGCAAGGCGATCGCAATGAAGAGGAGACTGGAAAACTGGACAGTGATGGCTGCCACACCTGCGAACAAGAAAACAGTTGTAACATGGATCAGAGGCAGAAAACGCTCAAAATAGACGTCAAGGCGTAGGATGTGATTGCATGTGGTATGCCGGAAGACGTACAAATAGTACTATATTGCAGACCGCGACAATTATTGCAATTCCGATTGAAAATCAATGGGTGGAAAATAAGAATCACACTAGTCACATAATGGGCACCTGGTGATTTCTTTCAAAAAAATCCTTGACAGTAGATTCTGATACCTACCCCCCTCCAAAGCTAACACTTTTTAACTTCTAACTAGGAACAAAATGTTGCGTTAGAAGCGGGCTGGAAGGGGACAGTTTAATCCCAGAATGGTACGTATTTTTAAAGTTGCGCTGAGGGGCTTATATAGAGTGTTTTCACTCACGTGGCCAGCATCTATGCAAATTTATTGGAACAAAAGAAAGCGTTTGCATAAGAAAAGAGTTTAGCTCCCAGAGGATTGGCTTAGGACATCAACATGGCCGCCGTTTCATTGTTTTGGGACACCAATATGGCCACCGTGACGACATGTGAAATCACTTTATATCATAAACCCTTAAGGTTTCCACCAGGGTTGCGCTAGTCTGACTACCTATTAAATCGCTGTGCACACAGAAGATTTTGACACCACCGGCGTTATCCAATAGTGTTAGGCTACTTCTGTTATTACACCAGCATGAGGGTGCCTTGTGAAGTTGGTTTGTGTTACACGGTCTATTTTATATGACTCACAGTGTGATGACAGAGCAACACCTTTTGATTTAGTAAAACGAAGGCCGCTGTGATATAAGACCCAAACTGGGGACCTCCTGGGTATGTTAATACGCCTCTTGCACATTTCCATTTATGATAATGCACCTTATTTGCCCCCCAAAATTTTGCATAAGCGTTGTTTTCAATTTCTCATGGGGTGGCTGTAATACCCAGGAGAAATGAAAAGCAAAGGTTATGCAAAGTGTTGGGGGGCAAATGAGGTGCATTATGGGAGATGTGCAAGTGGCGTATTATGAAAAACAATTTCATTCAGAAGAGATTATTTTTTACGCCGGCATTTTCAACCTTTATGATTGGTAAATATCCACGGTTAATCACCGATGCGCATTTCACTCAGTACTCACCTGCGCATTCACATGTTATGCATCCATATTTATTTCTGGCAAGACCGTGAGGGCATCCATCAGGAAGATAACAACCGGGCGTAGGACACATATCTGTAATAAATCAAGGGTAAAGTATTAGCTTAAGACTCAAAATATTGCCTTACCCCTATAAGGAAACGCGCCTTACGGACATCTCTATACTGACAGTCCACTTGGTCCCAAAGGTGCTAATCTTCATAATGATCTCGTGGTCTTGACAGATCAGGCACCAGGCCCCAGCTGTTCAAAAGGTGGAAACGCTATCCACCGGATAAACCTCTCAGGAATTCCTCCAATTCTCGCACCGGGGCGAGAAAACAATACGCTCGGTAGGGGGTTGGCCCTGTGAAAATGGTGTCTTTAAAGTTTTTTAATGTCTTTTAACACTGGGCATGGATTTTTTACAAGAAATAGGAACAAGCCTTCCTACTCAACCTCAAACTTACTCCACTTTTCACCAATTTACCCCAGTTTCATATTTGTCAAGCTCTTCATTGCCATTTTTGCCTTAGTGCAGGGAGTTCAAACGTACATTTTAAAGTCACATTGATTCCATCCCAGTAAACACCGTACTCCTTAATCACACTGGCCCTAGAAGGAATGAAAAATATCGATCCAGAGTAAAGTACCTACACACACTTTCAATGCTCCAGACTGACTAACGCCCAATAAGCTCTGTTTCTTTTTTTTTTGTTTTGTTTTTTTTTTTCTGGTATATATCTTGTATTGTATTATTGTGTTTTATTTTATTTTGAAAACTGTTATAAGCGGGCGGACACTATGAGCCGCAGTCGCTGGTCTTTGCTATCGGCTAAATCAAGCAGGTTTCATACAGAAAAAAAACTTGGAAGGAAGAAATGGGCGGCGGAGGCTTCTGTTTAGTGTAAGATGTCCGTTTAATGAGAAGTCTGCACCGGGCGTTCAGACGGTGGAGTGAAGAACCCCCTTCCCTACTTCCTGACTGTTTTATCTGCTCACATCTCTTTTCGACGCCCCACGATCTAAAAAAGCCTGGAAGGCTATCTGCCAAACTTTTGTTTGCGACATGTTGTCAGTTGTGGAGGTGGCAACCTTTGATTTTATTTAAACCAAGATCTAGAATGTGTTAATATTTTAAAAACACTTGATCATCGGTAATGTTCCATTCCTGTTCTCCTTATTCTTAACGTCTCTTCGCTACATGGTCTCGCCAGCTAGTTGCAACGTTCGTCACCAACCTTTTACCCAATTTAATCCCGCAATCCTCACCTTATGTGGATATTTCCGGCTGGGGACTTCTTTGGAGACTTCCACTGGACTTGAAGGTTAGTCCACTCCTTTGCGGTAGAGTTCATTACCACTTCATTCTAAAAGAAAAACATATACACACGCAAGGTAGCTAATCGGGTTAATTATTATTTTGAAAAGAATTTGTTAAAGATTACTGCCCACATCCCGTTGTGTCTACATCTCCCCAGTTTAGGTAATTTGGACCCCGGGATAGAGAGGAGAAGTATATGACATCACGTTACCATGGTAGCAAAATTTCTGGATCACACTAATATGGAGCTTAAGCAACAAAGACGGCGACGGCAACGAGAACGGCAAAAAAGCAAAAGGTTTATAATTAGCAAAACAAAAAACTTTGCACGTGCATCAAGCTCTTAGCTGTCGTTGCACGATTTCTCATTTCTCGCGCCCGCTTTGATGGAGTAGGTGACAACACAAAAATTTCCTTTTCCTTTTCCTAAACTTTGATATGGTACTTTCGGATTCAACCCCAGAAAATTAAATGAAATTGAATACGATAGATAAAGTTTGAAACAGGGCGAATTCACTTTTTAAGTGACGTTTTCGGCATGTTGTCATCCAAAAATTTTGCTACCATGGCAACGTGGGGTAACGACTTGTCCTCTCCATCCGAGAATGTTTTGTTTATGATCATACGGAATCTGGAATTCTGGGCTTTGGAATCCTGGACTCAGCTTAAAGAATCCGGAATCCCGCTAACGATATGATTAAAAATCAAAATCCATTTTCCTGTGACAAGGAATGTAGAATCCAGTTGCCGGAATCTGGAATCAATGCCGTGGAATCCAGAATGCAAGACTGATTACCTTATATATGTGGCGATCTGTAAATCATGTTCACTTTGATTATGTTTAAAAAAAACATAGTAGAATGTGAAACCAAACAGTAAAGTATTAAATACAGACCAGAGCACGGTTAAACGGAGAACTTAAGATTGTCTGGTCAATAATTTCAAGCAAAACATTCGCAAATTAAGGCTAGTTTCATCACTACAAAAGCCCCTAGTTAAATCACTAGAACTCATGTTGCCAGTTTGCTAGTAAGCTTTGACCACTTGTGATGAGGACATTTTTCGGTGCTGTTTACAGTGCCGGATCCAGACCTCGGGGGGGGGGGGGCATCCCGGTCTTCCCTTAAATAAGGGGGGGCGGTCTCCCTTCGGGCCTCAGTTTGGTCTTAAAATAAGGGGGGACCCAGGCTCCTCTCCTGGATCCGCCACTGGTTTATACCGGCGAATGTAATGTATGCGACTTACAATGTAAGACCTGCCTTCGTAGTGACATTCCTCTTCCTTTACTCCCTGAGGCAAGGGTGTCACAAAATCTCCACTTGGTTCATCCGTAAAGTCGTTGTATATGTTGATGATGAACCCCACAAACTTCTCTGTGTCATTTCCGGTTTGCTTGCCACTCAGCGAGACTTAAACAGTGATGCAAAAAAAGATCAGTAGAAATAATAGGCCACTTCCGAGTGAGGCCAAGTACACAGCCTTTCTTGTGAAAATGAGTTTTATTTGCATGAGAATGAAAAATGATTTCCATATCAAAGGCTGAGCACTTAACCTCGTTTTGATACAGAGACCGGGGAACTCGGATATGGCCTATTGAAGAAAGTGAAGAAACATAACTCTTAAGGAGGCGTTCCTGCAAGAAAAGAGCATGAAAACTAGAGGAAAAGCGATTAACTACGAGCAGCCTCTTTTAGCCCGCCCCTTTTACCTCAACCCACGCACACGGAACGCAAAATCCAAAGACGGATTTTGTCACACAGAATCCTTGTTCTTCGCGGATTTCAATGAAACAGGTCCAGAAATGAAATCCGTAGACTACGAGTAGTCCCCATTTCCCTCAGGGATAGCAGAGCGAGCGAAACGCAAGCGCGCGTGAGAATCACCCCACGCGAGAAAGGCGAGACACGGCGGTGAGAGAGAAAAGACAAAGCCCAAACTCTCTATCCCCGCCGCGTCTCGCCTTTCTCGCGTGGGGTGATTTTCACGCGTGCTCTCGTTTCGCTCGCTCTACTATCCCTGAGGAAAAATGGGGACTACTCGTAGTCTATGGAATCCGTTGCTGGTTTTGATTGTGTCTAGGAAATCCAAAAAATCAGGTTTCTTTGCCGAGTGCTCCTTTTAATAACTAATGTACCTTCTCACTTTATGAAGGCCTTAAATTCGGCATATTTTATAGATGCACATAAACCATCTGGATATCTTACTTGTGTGTATAGCTTCGCTACCGATGAAATGAAAATCATGAAGAGGCCGACCATCTTTATCAGTCACGTTAAGTACATAAGGAGGTGATGAATTCTGCGGTGCAACTCCGGGATAAAAGTCCCTCGGCACACTTGGGCAGGGAATGTGGATGTCTGCTTTGGCACGCTGAATGTAGAGTGCAGCTACTATGCTCCATAGCAGACATGTTCCTAACAGGCGTGACATTTTAGGTCCCCAGACGATCCTGTAAAAAGAAAGGTCCGAACAGTCGACACCTCACAACGTAGCACAACGTATAAATCACGACTTCTGCTTTTGCCTGAGTACTACTTTTAATTGATTAAGCTACTCCTGGAAAAGAAAAATAAAACAGACTCTCCCAATAAACAAATAGACCCTTCCAGAACTCTGGTGTACAACCCGGCATACCTAATCGAACGAAATTCGATTAAGCCTCTGTTTCAACACTTGGCTAAAGCCATAATATGAAGAGGATTTTTTATTCTTATGCACATGTACAACTCATTCTGAGGAAGGAAAGGATTTGCACTTCACATCGCATTTGAGTGAGTAGTAAATTGGTACTTTTAAAAACCACAGCAACGTTAACAAAGTATATTAGTTCAGCTTGATCAAGCTTACTGGCACCTAAAAACCTAGCAACCACCTCCAGGGAATCCAAGCCAGTCGTGGATTCTGGATTCCGCGCCGTTGATTCCGGATTCCGGATTACTTGATCTGTATTCCGGATTCCAAAGACCAAAATCCACCACTTCCACAAGCGAAAATTTCCCGGATTCCCCATAATTACATGGGGCGAACTATGGGGCGATTATTTCCTTTTCCACCAATAATTCAGCCACAAAAAGCCTCAAAGTGTTTCAGCTGGCACTGACAAATGGAAAAAATTGTAAACAAAATAAATAGTTTTTTTTTAAAATATATTATTAACCCATCTTTCATCGACTCAGGTGTCCGCATTGAAATGCAATGTAAGTCCTTTGCGGACTGGCCCATCAACATAATTTTCAGGAATTGTTATGTTTTTTCTCATTATTATTTTTCCCCTTTAATGATTGCAGTAGAGAGTCGATGCGGGAAAAAATAGAATTGCGTGTTTGTTTATTCGGCAACTCGAATGATGTTCAAGTGATTTACTTTGATTTCTTTTAAAGCATGATTTCTCCCGCTTGTAGATTCTTTCGATCACAACTTTAATCGAACCTGTTTCCCTGTTAGTTTCAACACTTGTGCTAAGCTAAAAGCTTGAGACTTAAATAAAGTTATTATTATCAGCCTCGTCAGTCAGTATGCAGACTAGTCTACCTCCGTCGACAGTCACTTTAAATTATGTGTTGACGTATCAGAATAAGTAAATTTTGTAGCGATTCACGTCATTATTCAGAACAAGCTTTATAATTTTACGGTATTTGTAATTCAGTCTTTAAATTCTGTGTTGTATCAGAATAAGTAAATTTTAATACATTGTTCATTATTCAGTATATAAATAATACATGGCTTTTATATATGTGTTACGGTATTTGTAATTACCTGTATATGTGTAACAAAATGCGAAAAACAGCCTAATCATGCATTCTCTCCACAAGTTCAATATTGCGTGACCCGACGTAATGTGAGCATTTATGCAAATCTGCCTTACAACCACCCAAAGATACACAATGAGAATTTTCTATTGAAAATACAAATAGGGTCATATTTTAAAGAAATGTCAGCAATGGCCGCACTGGGTAAGTTGTGGCAGTAGCGAGATTCGTAAAAGAACGAGCAAGTGAAGTTCTGTATCATAATAATTTGCGTAGTGATTGAAATTGGTAAAAATAGGTTAAAATAAACAGTAATTTAAGGATTTTCATAGACTGATGGTATCGAGTTTTGTGTTTTATTTAATAGACGTTATTTATATACCCATGGATAATATTCGTTTACCTTCTGATGATCAATCTTTCATCAACTAGCAGCATCGGAATTAGGGGTTACCTAGAAAAATTATCGGTTTGTAGAAATATTCCAAAACTCTCGCAAGGTGTTACCAAGCAACAGAAAGAATCCTGGCAAAGAGGTCCTTGCTCCTACCTCGACCCCAGGGTCTTCTCGTTTTTCCAACATGGCGGCATGAGATACCCTTGGGGACGAGGTTGGATGAACAGCCTGTGAAGAGGCTCTCTGTTTTGGGACAGGGTGAAAAAATCGCGAGGAGAGGGAAGGGAACGGGTGAGCCACCCTTTCCCCAAACATCTTGAAAGAGCGTGTTCACCGGCTATGCGAACGAGCGTCTCTGGGTCTCTCTTACGACACAGGCTCTCACTGGGCAGCTGGGGATTTTAATACATGTCCCTTCTTGTGCAATTCTGGGTCACAAATCCTTAAAATGCCAGAAATGGAAAGAACATAACAAAAACGGCAAGCCTTCCATTTTTAGGGACTTCGCACTCTACGAACAAAGAAGTGTTTGAGTGCCTACGTCTAAATCTTGGCTACATATTTAAGAAAAAGAGAGGAAATAAACGAAAACAAGAGAGGATGCGAAAAACGGTGCCAGACTGCGCCCCCTTGTATAGAGGGATGAGGAAGGGGGATCTAAGATTGCTTACTGCCGCGGGCGGGATAACTTTGCTATTCTAAGTGAAGTCGGGCTTTTTATACAGTGTTACGGTTTATAACGGCGGTTGCATTTAAGGCTGATTAGCGGGAAAGTAAACGCTCACGAGAGGTCTTTCTGTATTATTGTCCAGTGAAGTACCAACATGTGTAACTAACAGCAACCGGTCTTTGCCTCCATTAATGTTTGTTCCTTATTCTATATGTTTTTAGAAAAAAGAAAGCCGAATTGACGACAGTCACTTCCAATAAAATTCACAATAGACGTCTTTTAGTAAATCAGCAAGGAATTGTGATGTTTCACATACTAGGCGGGTAAACTGTTTTTATTTTTAAAAAGAACTTGGGGCAATCAAAGAACACTATGTTTTTGTTCTTATGGAGCAAAAGGAAATGAAATTGCCTTGTTTAGACATCTGCCAGCCGGCACCGATAGCGCAAAGTTTATTGCCTTGTTCTCGTCCTTTGCAAACTTCATTTTTAGAAGTGTTGTTTTTTGTTGTTGTTTAAAGTAGACTAAAATCGAGACAACGACGAAATGTTTCTCTGAAGAGCCGTGTTGCGCTCTTATCCGCTGATACCTTAAGGGCTTGTGTGGGAAGGTCCTCGTTAATAAAAACTAAAAGATAGGCTACACCTTTCCATCAAAGAACGACTGAAGAACAAAGTTCACCCTTTTAGATACCATCACCGCTAATCCAATAATTCTCGTCTGTTTATTACTCGTCAAAAGGAAGCTGACGACACAGGAATAGTGTTAGTCAGTCCACACGCTGGTAAAAAATGTGTAGGCCATGAACGCCCACCACAAAAATTAAAATGGATTTAGGAATTAAATTACTTTGCTGTTTTGATGCCCCAGAAAGTCATTAGTCATGTTTACAGTACTTTAGTTATAAAATTTCATCTAAATATTTATTATTTGTCAGGCTCTTGGCTCTTACGTATTAGATTTAGTACTGCATCACAAACACACGGAATCGGCACACAGAAAAAGAAATACACACACACTTGTCAGCTTGAATTCATTTTCTTGCAGTGTCGTTTAGTTACAATAAGGCAAATATCTTCCTTCGCTGAATTCCAGGCCGGGAAACTCTTTGGAGCTAGAGAAAAAATCAAATGAGAGGAAATTAAAACTCCGTTTGTAAGGTAATTAAAGAACAAGGTAAGTTTTACCGACAGTGTTTTAGTATTTCTCACCATTAAAAAATATGCCTGAACAGTTTACTTTAATTGTGTCGGCAGAGTTTTCATTCGTATCACACATAAAAGAAATTTACTTAAAGTAGTCGGTTTAGTTTAGAAAATTAATCTTCAATGGACCATATTTAACATTTAATCTACCACATTTTGACCTGTTAAAATGGCGAAGTGTTTTATTAATAAGAACAAAAATTAGCGATAAAAACGCGACGTTTCGACGACAAATAATGTTTAAAGGTCAGTCCTATTTTTTTAATGCTCATGTATTAAACCTAAAGTGCTTTACGAAATCTTTGGTTACACTAGAATGGAAGTGAAATTTTCACTCGTTATAGCACTTCTTTAAGTCATTATCCAAGTGTTTGAAATTTACGAATATATAGACGCACCCCATATAATTGCGGATTAGCCGCCCCAGCTGATTGTATATCAGCAGCTCTAATGGAAGCTAATGGCCTTTTCGTTCCCAAAAAGTCATGAATATTAGATTTAGTCTGTAAAGGACACGAAAACTGTGAAATAAATGTATAATTGATATACCTAGCACTGTAAAGTTTATTCATACTCAGGTTAACCGGTACCTTGGCTCCAGAGTTCCGTTCTCGAAATACCTAGATAGTTCGTTGCACCCAACGACAATTTTCGGAAAATATCAGTTCGGAAGACGGAGATCTAGAATTTAGATAAAAGAAAAACATAAAAATGGTATAATTGCCCATTAGAACCCAAAGTAGAATTTTTAACTGGCGCGAAAAGGTAAGTTTTTCTAAAATTATTTTTTCTGAACAGATGAAAAAATTTTTCATAATTTACTAAAAAAACCAAGTGGTTTTCACAAGTAGCCTCTGATAAGAAAAAAAAAATAGAAAGGACTTCTTGAGCTTTCATTTTTTCGTTAATTTTTTTCGTTTATTTGTGCGGACTTCTTGAGCTCATTTTCGTTAATCGTTTATTTGTGCGGATTTTTGTTTATTTTTCATCATTGGATTCCAAATCCAATAATTAAAACGGGGCCTCTGTTTCTTATTGGCCAGAGAATTTTTTTTAATGGCCAGAGATCGATCAGAAGCCTATGAAATCGACCTCCTGGTTCTGCAAACGTAAGTCCCCGGATGGGCTCTCCCGTTTTCCTCAGGGGTTTTTAAAATTGGCCCGTGAAAACTTCGTCCCGGTTTGCTGCCCTTGCATGGACCTTCGAGGATGGTTTGATGAATACACCACATCCCGTGCCTTTGATGATCATAGCTGAGCCACGGTTGATTGAAGGGTAACAGATGATGCCCATGAGCTGTTTTCTGCTAAGTGTGATACAGATAGCAGCAAATTCCCATGTGGAAGCGATTGCTTTTAAGCTTAACTGACTTTCCCTTCGTTCGCCTTGCGTACGTCGTATCATTTTGTTCACGCAGACGTAGAAATTTCACACTCTTTGAACCGTAGGGCTGCATCTGTGGGCAAATTTTAAGGCCTAGCTCTTGCAGGAAGAACCTTAATGTCTTGGATTTGAGATAAGACAAGTCTATCATTAGCACTGTATTAGCAGAATCAATCGACCTTTTATTTAAATAACCTTGGCTCTTAACATCTAAAAGGGCTACTTCTTGACCCATGTCTAATTCAATTCATTGCCGAGAATTTAATTAATCCTCATTAAAAGACCGCCTTTGCATTATTTCCTTTAATACGTGATGAAATTTTTTAATAAGACTGGCTGAAGTTACCTCGTTATAGAAATATAATTAAATATTTTTCCCTCGCCATTTACAATAAGCATTCTATCAAAAAGGGAACGAAAATTTTTAGTATTAACTGATCTTCCTTTTGTCAAATTCCTTCATCGATGGCTCTCGTCAAAACGGTCGTCTTTTCTATCCCTCGCCACTACTATCATATTCACAGTACACAGGAAAGAATACCAGTCAATGCACAAGTACTTCAGTCTCCATGAACGCTGCCAGAGGTATGTTTCCTAAAACGTACGGTGCGAGTCCTGTTTATGTAGCTATCAGATCGCTAGCAGAGCGTTTTTGGCCACCGCAGTCTTTGCAAGAAAAAACCAATCATCGGCATTATTTTTGGGGGATTTGAGTTTATAATCCTTTATTTTCACAAGGCACCAAAGCATCTTTTTATTTTATTATATTTTTTCTTAGCTCTCTGCAGGTAGAGATTTGGAAAGGTTATCGTTCGGTTTTCCTTCACCGGTTACGGGATCGCAAATTGAGTACATTAAGTATTTTACCGATAACCACTAATGACCATGATTGTTTTTTCATCTTCTTTGGCCCATGTTTATGGACAGAAGGATAACATTGCAAATGGTGTGTTAATTTCTGTTTTTGAAAGATAAATTTCTTCGCTCCGACATTTTTTATTTATTATTTTCGGTCAATTTTATCCTAGATACTGCATGGTTCATTCCGGCTCTGAATTTTTACTAAAGACAGGTAAGTTAAAGGCTGAGAAAACTTCCTCCTCCCATCCGACAGGAACCATTTTTCTATTATCTACTAGAAGCCCAGAATTCCTAACTGCAATAAAACTAGTTGATGTAACTTAGGACGATAGATCACGATCAAAGGTATTGTATGCCGATTGACAAAAAGCGCTCGCGTCGCTCTGTTCGCGGCCATTAGGCCTGGATCTAGATTGTAATCAGCGAGGTCGATCGCTTTTGGATCGGGCTTCCATACGTTTCATATTATGATACTGCAAGGCATTGCGCGCGTATCGTCTGAGCTGCGAGCGGCGGGCAGATCTTCTGTACATGTATAACAGTGAATGAAGGCACAGCTCTCT